TTATTGTGTTATGACTTTTCTGAAGTGCTGTGCACAGGCCGATTTCCTGTCAGCCACATCAGGAGACGGGGACGGCAGCGTCTGCACTGCTCTCTGTAATTACGGTTTTGTATACGGTAAATAGGCCTCCACTTACCATTCTCTAGGGGCCCATTCACACCATAAAACAGTGGCCTGTCAGAGCAGAAGAAAACAGATCCTGTACAATTTTGTGCAGTGCAGAGAAACACATAGAACCTATATATTTGTGTACTGCGGTGTACAAGAACATTGGTGTGCAGCATCGCACTGTAGATGTGAATTGGGCTGCACTGAACTTTACACTGCAATGCACCACAACACACATCTACAGAGAATAAGTGGAAGGAAAGCAGATTGTTTTATGTGGTATCAGGCTACATTCACACAGGTGTTAACTACACTGTGAATCCCAGCAGCAAGAAGCTACCGATTCCTGCAGCTAGGATTCACGACTGTGTGCAGATAGCTGTGGCTACTGAACCCACACAGGGCAATGACAGGCTGTCGACAGCCGCAGCTGTTCATGACTGTGACACAACCAGAGATTAATTGTGTTCATCATGGCTGGAGCAATTTGTAAGCATCCAGCCACAATCACTGCAGGTAATTGCTGGCTGTCACCAACAGCCTGTCATTGAGCTATATAGGCTTGGTGTCCACAGTTATCCACGCACAGGTGTCAATCCCAGCTGCAGGAATCAGTATATTCTTGCTGCTAGGATTCTCAATGTGGCTAAACACCCATTCAAATGTAGCTTAAAGGCATTCTGGATAAAGCAGTGCAGTAATCTATAGCGACCAATCAGCATCCATCTTTCATTGCACTGACTGGTCTGTGCTGGAAACGGATTAGGTGTTATGAGCTGTTATGTGCCCCAGCACTTTACCTTCCCTTATTACGCCACAAAATTTAGTTCACAAACATTGTTTTTAGCTCACAATTAACACATGAAACCAAATTCATAATCCTGGAGCCCAACTACATGTGTGAGGCTGGTTGTATGATGTAAACGTACCCTCTGGGGTGCAGGTGGCACTGTAGCAGGCTGAATGAATTCCTGGTAATCCGTGACATTGCCATAATCTGCTGTACTTCCTTTAAGTGGTAGTGGAGGAGGGATATCCATTGGTTCAGCAGTCGGGACACCATTTTGTTCCACACCTAGAAAAAACAATTGATTACATGGAAAATGGTATGACACTGTGTGCTGCAATATACACATTACACACAAACAATGAACACAGTCACAGCTTTTTGTTACATAAAATTTGTATTACCATTCTTCACAGAGATCTATACTTGTGTTGGATGTCCCAGACATATTCCACAGACTTCCCACACAATCGTTCTCTTTTCTAATTGTAGTCCCATCATATGTAACATTCTATTCGAGATCACCACAACTCTGGGTGAAAATGGCTGTACTTTCCCAACAGTCATATTTTGATCATATAAACCCCTCTGGGTATACTATTATTATTACCACCCTTATACAGCACCCAATGTAATGCTCTACTTTGTAAACATAAAAGCACCGTGCTTTCCAACACATAAGACAGGGCTCCAGAAATGTGGTAACTTCATCTGTGCATATCACATACCTATTTCACTATAGGGCACAGCACAGATCACATCACATGCCATGCAGAAAACCCTGTTCAGTGAAGCCTCACCCTCTCCAGATACATACACCACATACACAGGGGCAGGTGTAGCTCTGACAATCTTGCTGAAGGAAGGTAGTAATGACACCTTACCTATGTGCTCCATAGTCATCGCAGTACAGGAGAAATATACAGTAAGTAAATAACATCTTGCTTTCACAGTCTATTGAAGAGAATAGGGGTGTGACAAGGATGATGGTAGTGCTGGGAAGGACTGGTGGACCCATGAGTGCTTGGAGTTGTCAATGGACACAGACAGAGGCATGCTTTATATGAGGGGTACCAGTAAAGCTTCTCTGAACAGATGAATTTTCAGGAACACTTAACAGCAGAATTCATTGCTGGATAGAACTTTCCAAGAGGTTGGAAGGTTATAGTTGTAATGAGGGACTGTACAAAAGCAACACACACAGCAAACCGATTGAATTCCCTAAAATATGTTCCAGCATCCAATTCCTTACATATGATCCCATGTTTTACTATTGTACTGTCATGTCACAAAAATTAACACGTATGAGACGCATATCTCTCTCCCTCTCTAATGTATGAATTAAAGAGAGACAGAGAGAAATGCACCTGATCTGGTCAAATGCACTGGAAGATCCATTCTGTTTCAGTAACATAATGCAAACAGCAATGATGAATCAAAGTGCAGTAACCCATATCAACCAATCAGAAATTAGGACAGTAAAAGAGAAATTGTGAATAGTTGCTACAGGATACATCTCTTTGCTCTTATCCAAACGATCAATCATAATAATAAAATAACCAAATATAAAAATCTGACAGAAGGAACTAAAAGATGTGTTGAGTTATAGAGAAGACATGAAAGATAGGTGGGATGTAATAACTTACCTAGCGATGGAGTAAATGTGAGCCTGGCTCTGGGGGTGACAGGTGGTGGTTGCTGTGTTGAAGGCTGGCTTGGGGATACAGAGAAGCGCCTGTCACCAGTAACAGTATTCAGAACTTGACTCCTTGGTCTCTGAGGCCTTAGTGGGCTTATCTAGAACAGAAAGACATAATGGGATCAATAGATTTGGAAGGGCCTGATTAATTACATGAAGGCTCCATTCACATTTGTGCAATTATGGAGTGCAACTCTGACGCAACTTTGGATGGATGTGACTTGTCCCTCTGCAAAGTCAGACCCACTGCTGTGCCACAGTTGCATGTAAAACATTCAGGTACGACTTTCATGCAGCTTTTGAGGGTTAACATTGAAGTTTATGGCCCTCAAGTTGCATGAAAGTCGAAACAAAGTAGTGTATGAACAACTATGAAGTCGCTGAGACTTTAAGTCACATGAATGGTTATCATTGGAAAACATAGGTATGAATTGTCATGCAACTTTGATGTCCAAAGTCACATGACAAGTTACACAAATCTGAATGTGGTGTAAAGGATAAGTTCTCCTTTAGGAAAATGTTACATATTCCATCCGTTTTTTTTAGCATGCAGCAGGTAACATGTTCTCCCTCCTGCAGCCACTCCCTGATCCCCGGTCTGCTGATCATGAGTGCAATGCTTTTCAGGCTCTTACACAAAAAAAAGAAAAAAAAAAATAGTAAATGCACATTTTACTTGCAAAAAAATGTGCATTTATTATATTTTTTAAAAGAGGGGAACTTATCCGTTAATAGATGAAAATGACAACAGATTTGCACTTGATACAACACTTGACCTCCCATCTCCTCCCCACCTATCACCTCGTGACTGGCGCTCTTGCCATTTCAAGCTTTGTCTTTACAAACACTGTAGACTTACAACTGTATTCTTTCAGTTAAGTTTTTACTAACTATTATTGCTTTGAGAGTGTTGAAATCCTGGGCATTTCTCCCTGTGCTCTGCCTATTGTGTTAAGCTGGTCATATATGGATCGAAATTCATCCAGTTCAGCAGACACAGCCACATTTCGATCCATGTATGGGGTAGTTGGTTGTACACAAGTCGATCTATCAATCAACTTATGTACAAACAGCCTGTTGGGTTTTTCCCAAACGATCAGTGCTGCAGGCTTAACCAGCAACACTGAACATTGTATTCTGTTGGCAGGGAGCTCAGTAGGAGTGATTCCCCCATCCAACGAGTGTGGATGGGGGAATTGGTTTATTTTTTTTTTTTCATTCAACCTGCTGGTTGAACAAAAAAAAAAAAAGAATTCATGTATGGCCTGCTATATACAAAAATGACATGCAGCAAGTAAACTGCCCAAACAATGGACAATTCTGTTGTCAGTTTGGGCTTCATCAGCTGTGATTTGGGCATCACTGTGATTCGCTGTGATTTGGATATCACTGCTGACAAATTCAAGTCTTCCAAATAGGCTTGCACATTCTGAGTCGGGATATACAGGCGTACCTCGGTTTACGAATGTAATGCTTCTCCTGGACGTTTCGCATTGCGAAAAATTTGTAAACCGAAATGTGGTTTCCCACAGGAATGCATTGAAAACCAATTAATCCGTTCCGGAGGTCAGAAAAAAGTAAAAAAAAAAAAAAATTTTATCTGTTCAAAACTCTTTATAAAGTGCACTTTAAATGCATATATACTGTACAGGGACATGATTAAAAGTTAATTCATAAATGCACTGAAAACCAATTAATCCATTCCGGAGGTCAGAAAAAACTCTTTATAAAGTGCACTTTAAAGGCAAGGGGCTGGCGCTATAAACCCCCCAGGCGCAATGCATCCTGGGGAAACTTACTTCGTAATGCGAAAAAAATTTGTAAACTGAGGCATTATTTTCAATGGATTTTCATTCGTAAAACCGAAAATTACGTCAATGGAGGTACGCCTGTACATAATTAAGCATCAAATGTTATTAATCCTTACACACAGTGCTGTGTCCAGTAGGCTAACCATGCCTGCTTAGATTTCCCTCATTCAGGCTGAAAAATATAAATCAACCATGCTAAACAGCATGGCTGAAGGAATCTTCATTGCTGGATGATATATTCAGGTAACTGCAGCACCACTGGCTGCCTGAACATCTGAAGAGTGATTGTATCCTATCAGATGCAGTCACTGCTCGGCTGACAATTTTCCACCTGGCTCAGATCATTTTAAATGGAGTTTTGCTCAATCTAGTGGTGCTGACAGGTCCACCTACAGCTCAAATTTTGGCAGATTCAGCAGGAATCGGCCAAAATGTGAGCTGTGTATGCAGACCTTCAGATCTAACCAATATGCAGTTGTGTATTAACTGCTCCATAACAAAGAGAACGCGTGACTTGACTTACAGTCTCTGAAAGTATAACAGCCTCAGACTGCTGGGGTGGAATGTCAGTTGCTTTAAACTCTTTATCGAATATCTCTTGGTGCTTGCTGTTCCTCTTCTCCTTCTTTTTCTCTTTTTTCTCCTTATCAAGATCATCTCTGTCCAATTTATCTTGGGAGCGAGAATGCATCTTCTTTGGCAAGAGAGGTTCAAGCACAAAACTGCAAACAGAATGTTGGAAAGAATCAATTAGATGCTGATTCAGTTTACACGGCCGGAGGATTCTGGGCTGCGTTAATCTCCACGGTGTCATGTTTGCTTTAGAGATGGCGAGCTCTGCTTTATCTTTTCATACATTTATGTGGCTTCACACACGAACTAATACACTTATGTATGCACACTTATCTTAACTATCACAATAGGAAAAGCTATTGGCTGCAGTACAGCAAGCATGCTGGCTTAGTCGCAGATACCGAGCTAAGTAATGACCAAACATTACAGCTCGGCCTACAATGTCAATTACACAAGAGTTTTCTCTTGGCTTTTATTTCATTTATGTATTACATCCATTTATATAAGGCCAACATACTCTGCAGCTCTTAGCAGAGAACATTAAATTACATCAGTCCTTGTGCAAATGGAGTTTACATCCCAACATCCTCAGCACAACATACACAGTCCACAGATTTGTTCCTTTTAAACTAAATTCTAATGCTACATTGCGACAGCAATCATATAGGGTCAAAATCATAAATCTTCTTTGTATTAACATTTTGTTGAAACATATGCCTTATGTATAGAGTGACAGCCACATGATTTACTGGTTGACATTTTGAATTAAAGCTCCACTCCAGGTTGGTCCTTACCTTGTGAAGCCAGCTATACTCACCTAAGTAGCCCGTCCGGGTGGCGGACTACTAATCCAGTGCTGCAAAGGCCACCTGAGACCAGTCTTCTTAGTCCTGAGAGGACCCTGCTGCTGTCCATCCAATAGGAAATGTCTAACTCATGCAGGCAATGACAGTCTCCTGCAGGAATAACCATGCAGGAGGTAAACAGAAGAGGGGAAGGTTTGAGCTGGAGTGTCATGTGAATGTGACTAAAGGTAAGCACAAAGGACTTATAAAGTGTTATTAAAGTCCTGTAGCCTGCCCCCCCTCTATAGGTAAGGTACACCAACAGCCATTAATGTGATTTTTTTTCTTTTAAATGTTCTACTTTGGTCACATGACTGCATTTCCTATTTACCTTGCAGCATGTCCCGGGAGAGGGCAAAGCTAAGCCACATGGAGTTACATGTCCTGTGACATAGCTTTAGCTATCACACTCCCTCCCTTGCCATACCTTTCAGAACAGAGTGCGCTATTAGTCAAGCATCACTTCCGCTTTCTGGCCTCCTGATGTCATGGCACATGCTCAAAATTGGGAGCCAGCTGCAAAACCCTGGCAGAGACAGCAGTGCTCCTGATGGTGTCAGAGAAGATTCTGCTGCAGGTCTGCGTTTTCAGTGGCAGAACTCTACAAAACACCATGGCATGGGGGGGGTGGGAGTGACTTTCCTCCTTATTCTACATCATCGCCAGGAAGTAGCAGAGTGATCTGCGACACTGGTTCCTGGATCACAAGGCAGGCTGAACACAACGACAAATTCTTTGGTAGGCAAAACAGTAAAGATAATAAGAAAAAAAATTGTAAAAAAAGTATGGATATTTACCCATTTGCCCAGATTTTCACTCAAAGCAAGAGAAAAAAAATCATCAATATACAATACAAGTTTATGTACAACACAAGTATATGTAAACTTAATCACTAAAATAAGCCTTACAATGTGAATATAGTTTCACATGACAATTTCAGTAGGCTTACATCTGCAGTTTTAATATAGAATACATAAAATAATGATCCTGCCATGAAGGTTGTCGTCCTGTGTTGCCACCTGAGCCTTCAATATAGACTACAAGTGGCCATTTAAACAGGCAGGCACTATTATCACCATCATAAAACACGCATGACGAATGCTATACACCTGACGCCTGAGTGGAAGTGAATAGGAAGTGACTGCAAAGAAGCTGCGGGAAATCAGCAGCACTGATATGTAAAAATAGATGAAAAAAAAGGGTTGAGATAAATGTCTAGTTCCCACTTACTACCAGTAAATTGTGACCAGCATCTGCTGAACTTCTACTGTTAATAAACATACCTTTTTGAGGTTTTTGTGACACCTCTAGACTCCTTAGGCATTACCCCCCCCCCCCTTACCCTGCTATGCCTCTCTCCTCTTCCTCCCTTTTCTATTTCCACTCTCCCCAGTTTTGTTTTTTTTAAAGATGCTTCGTTTGTGCCCTTCTGCCGAAACATAAGACATATCAGAAATTCTGTACCACTGAATACTCTGAGTATGGAAATGATTCTTTATGTAAGGTATACTTGCATGCATGTCTAATCAAAGCATAACTCATCTGTAGTTTGCATATATTATAACTCCTTGTCATGCTTTTACTTGATTATTTTCACTCAGTTTTGTTACTACTCAAAAACTGGAAAAAAAAAATCAATGAATAAAATAAATGTTTTTTTTTTAATGACATTATTTACATTACTTTAATGTGCTTAATGTAGAAAAATGATTTTTTTTGCACACTCAAATATAACTCAGTAATTTAAACAGCCTGCATTGATAACTCATTGTTGACAGCAGTACAAAGAAATGTTTTAGCCTGCTGACATATGCAGGTGTGAACAGGCCCCAAAACTGAACGTGTTTGTAATTTTAAAACACGTCTTTATTTAAAATGCTCTAATGAGCCTGTGGATTTGTACACCTTTCCTAATGAAGGTGATGGGAACACGACTCCTTAGAGCTTTCACTGTTACCGAACAAAGGAGCCGTGGCTGATTTACAGTTACTCTACCATCATGCAGCTACATAATAGCTCTGCGTTCCGCAAGGCGTTTATTTTAAAATAAAGAAGCCTCTTTTGGCTCATTTGAAGTAATGGAAGGGATACAGCCAGGGTTGCACGCATAGAAAACATGAGTATTTTGAAGCCATTTGGTAAGACGCCATTGTCAATTCTGAAACCTCTTCTGCTGAGTTCACTGAAATTGACGAGAACCGGGAGAGTTGCCAAGCAGACGAAATCCAATATTAGGAATTCCGAGAGGCAAACTAAACATTTGAGATATGCAAAGGGGTAGGGAAAAAATCCGCCTTTTAACTTAAATGAACTGTATCATGGTTGGGTCACAGCTCGGCGTGTGATTGTGCCTGCAGAGCTGCAAGAAACAGATGGGGTAAATATTTGACCTCCTGAAATGTCAATAGGCATCTGTGAGTCTACAAAGGCACTGCAGTCAAAGAATAAGCAATCCTTTTCAAGCTGCTCTAAAATCCTTTTTTTCTGTTTTGTTTTTGTTTGTTTAGTAATCAGGGAACTACAGTAACGCAAAAAAGGAAAAATCAGCCACACAGAACAAAGCAGAGCAAAAAATCATCAAAAAATTATATATTAGTACTTAATAAAGAACGGAAGTCCTTCAGGGGTGGGGCTAGTCCTTGTGTCCATCACTGTCCACAAAGCAACATGCCTGCTTCTCAGTGCCATGAGAACCTCTCATTTTATTTATTGTTTATTACAAGGCTTTATATATGATATATAAGATATATTTTAGTGCTGACAACGCTTTACATATTGTACATTTACATCTGTCCCTGTCCTCAAAGAGCTTACAATCTAAGAGACCTATCTCACATGCATACACACATACTAGTGAACACTACACCATCAGGTTGCTATGGGAATCCTACTTTAAATACCAAGGGTGGGTTATGCAACATAGTAACATAGTTAGTCTGGTTGAAAAAAGACAAAAGTCCATCCAGTTTAACCATTAAAAAAAAAAAAAAAAAAATTATAATCCTATACCCACAGTTGATCCAGAGGAAGGCAAAAAAAAAATACAGCAAAGCATGATCCAATTTGCTCCTGCAGGGAAAAAATTCCTTCCGGGTCCCTCGAGAGGCGATCAGATATTCCCTGGATCAACTTTATTTATAAATGTTAGTATCCAGTTATATTCTGTGTATCCAAGAAAGAATCCAGGACTTTTTTTTAAAGCAATCCACTGAGCTGGCCAGAACCAACTCTTGAGGGAGTCTATTCTACATTTTCACAGCTCTCACTGTGAAGAAACCTTTACGTGTTTGTAGATTACATTTCTTTTCCTCCAGATGTAAAGAGTGCCCCCTTGTCCTCTGTGATGCCCTCAGGGTGAATAACTCTACACCGAGTTCACTATATGAACCACTGATGTGTTTATACATGGAGATCATATCCCCCCTTATGTATTATACATGGAGATCATATCCCCCCTTATGTATTATACATGGTGATCATATCCCCCCTTATGTATTATACATGGTGATCATATCCCCCCTTATGTATTATACATGGTGATCATATCCCCCCTTAATCTCCTCTTCTCAAGAGATAATAAATTCAGTTCCTCTAATCTTTCCTCATAGCTGAGCTCCTCCATGCCTCTTATCAGTTTGATTGCCCTTCCCTGTACTTTCTCCAGTTCCCCAATGTTCTTTTTGTGAATTGGTGCCCAAAACTGAACTGCATATTCCAGATGAGGTGTTACTAATGATTTGTACCGGGGTAACATGATATCTCTCTCTCTGGAGTCTATACCTCTTTTAATGCAAGAGAGGATTTTGCTCACTTTAGAAACCGCAGCTTGGCATTGCATGCCATTATTAAGCTTGTGATCTACCAGAACTCCCAGATCCTTCCCACCATTGATTCCCCCAGTTGTACCCCCCTAGTATGTATGATGCATGCATATTCTTAGCCCCCAAGTGCATAACCTTACATTTATCAACATTAAACCTCATTTCCCACATAGTTGCCCAATTAAACAGTGCATTGAGGTCGGCTTGTAAATTGGAGACATCCTGTAAGGACGTTATTCCACTGCACAGCTTGGTGTCATCTGCAAAGACTGAAATGGTATTTTTAATCCCAGACCCAATATCGTTTATAAATATATTAAAAAGTAAGACTCCCAACACTGAACCTTGCGATATACCACTAACAAGCCTAGACTATTCAGAGTATGAATCATTAACCACTACTCTTTAAATATGATCTTTTAGCCAGTTTTCTATCCATTTACATACAGATTTTTCCAAGCCTGTAGACTTTACCTTACACATTAGCCGTGTGTGGGGAACTGTGTCAAATTCTTTCGCAAAATCCAAGTATACCACGTGCACCACCACCCCTCTGTCCAAGGTTTTGCTCACCTCCTCATAAAAAGAAAAGAGATTTGTATGACAACTTCTGTCTTTCATGAATCCATGCTGTCTGTTAACATATTTTTTTCCAGCAAGAACGCATCTTTGTGGTCTTTTATTAAACTCTCCAGTATCTTCCCAACTATAGAAGTTAAACTAACAGGTCTATAATTACTTAGTAAAGATTTTGACCCCTTTTTAAATATTGGCACCACATTGGCCTTACGCCGATCCAGTGGTACTATGCCAGTCATTAAGATTCCCTAAAAATTAGAAACAATGGCTTTGAAATGACAGAGCTCAATAAAGGACCCGTGGGTGTATGCCATCCGGTCCAGGTGCTTTATTCACCTTTATACTGTCTAAATATTTTTGGATCATATCAATTGTGAGCCAATGGGGATCATCTGGAGCTGTGTCAATACCATGCCCATTATGGACAAGAGCTCCCCCATGCTCCTTTGTATACACAGAGCTGAAGAAGGTATTTAATACATTTGCCTACTCTTCGTCCCCAGTCACCCACACCCACCAGATTATTTTGTAAAGGGCCTACATGCTCGGACCGGACCTTTTTACTATTAATATATTTGAAGAACAAGAGTCCCAGCCTCCTCTAATTGGGGGGGGGATCAGTAGATGATAGGAAGTGAGCATTATATTAATTAATTTAAAGGCATATGTTTTTAAAATAACAAACATGTCATACTTACCTGCTCTCTGTAGTGGTTTTGCACAGAGCAGCCCAATCCTCCTCTTCTCGGGTCCCCTGCTGGTGCTCCTGGCCCCTCCCTCCTGTCTAGTGCCCCTACAGCAAGCAGCTTGCTATGGGGACTTCCAAGCCAATGCTCTGTTTGTCCATCGAGACACAGAGCCCAGCTTGGCCCTGCCCCCCATTCTCTCCTCATTGGCTCGCTGGCTGTGACTGACAGTAGCGGAAGCCAATGGCTCCCACTGCTGTCTCAGCCAATGAAGAAAGAAGGAGCGCTGCTGTTGTGCACATTGCTGGATTGGGATCGGGCTCAAGTAAGTATTGGGGGGCACTGCTGCACACAGAAGGTTTTTTACCTTCATGTATAGAATGCATGAAGGTAAATAACCTTGAGCCTTTACAACCACTTTAAACATTGGGAGAGGTGTAAGAAAAAAATAGCTTTCCATTCAATCCTAGTTCTTACAAAAGTCCTCAATTATTTGTTCATTATTTATCATTATGTATTTATTTCTAGTATAATAACCCAAATCTGTCTTTATGATGAGTTTGCATTGAAAGTTGAAATCAGGCTTACGGTGGGAGTGCCTGCATTATAAGCAGACTGTAGCACATAATGTACATTTTTATGGGGCACAAGAAGGAGAGAAGCCCAGGGTGGCCATCACCAGGAAGGCAACATTCTCTAAAGAGAAGGATGGAGCCAGAGCTGTAGCACAGAGACTGCAGAACTGTTAGCTGCAAAAAGTGGCATTATCATGCTCACGATAGGCCAGATATATGTGTGTGTGTGTGTGTCTGTGTGTGTGTTTCAACTTTGTATTTAGCTGTTTTGTTGGAGATGCTGTTTAAACAAACTCCAGCAGATTCAGTATTGTATGTGGTTTGCATGCATGGAGGATGAACACATTCCATGATTGGAGTATTGTAAGTGGCTGATTCCAGAATGCAGAGGATCAGCAAGGACTTGGCAGCCAGTCACTGGCCATATGTATGATGTATGTCAGCTGGACTGAGTCATTGCAGTATCACTGCACCATACTTAAAGGAGAATAAACAAAACAGAATGGCTTATATGTATTGAAACCATATGCTTTCTAGTAATCCCAGAGGATGTGTGCAATAAAAACGAGGGATCAGATGGTGATTGTGCTGTGACAATAACTGAAAACAAGCATGGCTGGGTATGAAAAGGTTGTTTGTAGGTTGTTTTCATCATGAAAACAAAATATGCTCACCAAAAATGTCAATTTAAAACAGCTAAATGATTGTGTGTATGTATTATTATATAGATTTACTCTATATGTGCATACACACAGTAAATATATACATATTTGTTATTAGATATCCATTTTTTTTTTGTTTCAGAATATCTGTAAGGTTGTTATTGCTGTCTGTGTCTCGGCTGTGTACATTCACCCCTTCTATTTGTCCTGGTGAGCCCTGGCATTGGGACTAAGGGCTTGCTCATACTAGCTTGATTTGTAAAACACGGCATTTTGCCTTGCAGGCTAGTGACTGTGTGAGTCAGTTTGGTGTCAGTTCAGTTATGTCTCAGTAGAGCAGCAAATGCATTGTGCTTCGGTGACCTCCAGTGCGCTGCACTGCACATCACACCAATGTTTTCTATGTGCCCTTTTAGTGACTAGCATTGATCCAGTGTGGAAAGGCGCCATTTACCACACCTAATGTAAACAAGCTGTAAAAAGTGACAAAAAATATAACATTTTTAGATATCACCAGAACAGGAATAAAAAGGAAAATCTTCCTGCTGTGTCAACTGAACAGAAAGTAAAAGGAAATCATTTTAACGAGACACCAAAAAAATGAAAAAATAAATAGTTTTGACTTTATACTTTACATTTTTGGAAATGAGGAAGAATAGGGACCAGACCAAGTAAATTCCTGAAGTTACTCCTTGCTTCTCAGATCACTTGGACTGTGGAATGCTGTACAAGGTATGTGGTGCCTTGTGGTAGGTGTATGCTTCCCATCTCCAACATTAATCTTGTTTTTCTGTATAATTTATACAAATGAGAGCAGCTTTTTTGCACATTACATATGCAGGGTGCCGCATAAAGACTTTGGTGGAGATTTACTAAAACTGGAGAGTGCAAAACCTGGTGCAGCTCTGCAGAAAAACCAGTCAGGTTCCAGGTTTTATTTGTGAAAACCTAACTGAACAAGCTGAAGTTAGGAGCTGATTGGCTACCATGCACAGTGGCACCAGATTCTGAGTGCACATGTTTTAGTAAATCTCCTCTTTTGCCTCAACGTACACATAGTGCAAATTTATAGTTCTGCTCCGACCTGACTATAAGCAATACACTGTGCTTATCCCAGCAGTCTTAAACCAAGGATGCTATCGCATTTTCTTATACACAGGTTAGCATTATAGGAAGCATTTACTCATCTGCACAAATTTACATTAGTGAACATATCGAAGGACAATTAAAAGTGTCACATTATCACCACCAGGTAAATGTTACAATAACTCCTGAGGATGCATCATTCCTGAGATCATTTTCCTTAACCACTTCAAGTTTACACCCGTCCTATCCAGGCCAATTTTCAGCTTTCAGCGCTGTCACACTTTGAATTACAATTGCGCGGTCATGCAACACTGTACCCATATGAATTTTTTAGCATTTTTTTTGAGTCAGATAAAACTTTATTTTGGTGGTATTTATTCACCACTGGGATTTAGATTTTTTTTTTTTGCTGTATAAATGAAAATGTCCAAAAATTAAAAAAAAAAACATTTCTTATACAATTTTGCAAATAATCTTTCTTTATAAATCTTGGCCAAAATTTATTCAGTTCTTTTTAGTAAAAAAAAAATAACCCAAATTAGTTTATAACCAAAAATTATAATTTTTAAAACATTTTTATATTATTTGTTTTTTTTCTTTACATACTGTCACCCTAGCAGTACAGTGTCACCATAGTGACACTGTACTACTTGTGTGGGGGTTATGAAGATTTTTTTTTTTTTACACCCATAAAGGCTGTAAAAGCAATAATTTCTCCTTCTCTCTGGCGGCATTCTTGCAGCCATTGAGAAATACTGTGTGATCTGTGATTGGTCACAGCTTGTCACATGGTACAAGGCGGTTGTGAATAGCCTTGTACCATGTGACCTCTGTGATTATTCACAGATTTCACACGTAGTAAGCAATGATGTCAGAAGTGACATCTTGCTTACTACTCTTCATATGATCACTGGTTGGCCAATCAGTGATTACATGATCGAGACCTCACACAGAGGTCCCGTACAACGATCGGTGTTCCACTGTGTCCGGAGGACACAGCAGGCAGTGGATCGCAGGCAGGCCGTTTATAAATGGCCACCCGCCCCTGAACTGCTCCAGTCCGGCCGTTTATATACATGGGCAGGACACGAAGTGGTTAAAAGGACCACTCAAGTCTAATGAAGTAAAATATAGTCAACAGCATCTCAGCTTAGAAGATCACTAAATACCACCAAATACATCATTAATGGAGAAAACATATATGTAGTTTTAGGGACTTGACAGCCAGCCTCCTCCACTACATTATGCTCAAATACAGAATCACCTGATGTGCTGCTTCTTTTTTCTTTCCTATCCAAGATTCACTATATATGACATGGGAATGGGGGACACACGGGTCCTAATTCTTTGAATTCTCTACATACTGTGTTTTTGGCTGTTAGAAGCAGGAACGCTTGTAAACAATACATTTTTTTTCTTTTACTCAGAAAAGGTTATTGTTTTTCCTAAATTGCATAAAATATGTGATGTGGTCTGTTGGGATGCAAAATAGTGTTTTGGAGGTATTTTTGTAAAATTATCATTTTGAAATACATTACAATACATAGTTCTTTAAAAAAAAAAAGTGCTCAAATTCTAAAGAAGAATGATATTATATTATGCTCCTATATAATAAGCCAACAGTATAAGGCTACATACCCATCAGAACCCGGTCTTGAAGGCGTACTGTCTGATGACACGGAGGAGATGGACACAACTGATAAAGGTCTGGATGATGATGGCATAGTGAAAGATCTAACCATAGATCTGGGTCTGTTCCCCCTCCTCTCATCATTGCTAGATAACTGAAAAAAAAAAACAAAACAAGACAAATTAATGAGCCAATCTGCGTTCCTTAATTGAATCAAAGTGCGTGTCTACTGATAACATGGCTCCTATTAAACTGATATTAAACCCTCAGTTTTTTAAGCAAATTCGGCAGCTGATTTAATCATTTACTGAGTATGCACCTTCTTTATCTTTTAATCCTTGTCTATGTTCCAGTTTATTCTGGTGTCATGACTGCTGCCCAGTTTTCTTGTGGCTCCTTTCTCTTGCAGCATCCTATGGAGACACCTATGCATACAGGGAGAAGAGGAATGTCTCCCTACACTGTGTGCATCAATAGCCATAGCCTAGGATGGCAAGGCACCCCCCTGCTCTTCCCTCCTCCAAGCTAACAGACTAAATCCAGACGGCACATTACATTATTCACTCTTTCCTGTGAAGACCAGAAGTTTGGGGAAGCAGCACTGAGAGAGCAGGAGCCAGCAGCTTTGAACGCTGTAAACTGCAAGAGCTAGGTTGAGAAGTTTAAACAAAAAGTCTACTGGGGGGGGGGGGGGTTATTTTATTGTGCTAAATATGTTAATATTAAAAACTCTGAGGTCTTAATATACTACTTAAAGAATATAAGAAGTTCTGTGATAGGACAAGGGGGCAGGAACGTCATAATCTCCTCTTGCAAGCAACAGTTTTTAGGAAGAAAGCAGCAGCCATGAGTAGCGAATACATCATTAGAGGTTTGGTTTTGGTACTTGGCTAAAGCCACAGTTATGTTTTTGTCTGGAGTTAAGCTATGAAGTAAAATATATCCAATTGCAAACTGTGTGAAATGTAGGCACCTACAGATGACTTATGTACCTTTATCAGCCTGAGCACCTAGGAAGAAACTCGGGAGTGCTCTGTCATTGAAATACTCTATTGTGCATCACTGCTGGTTATCTTTCACATTTAAGGACCAATAGTGATTTGCAGAAAGACTTCAATTATATACATTTATCAGCCAGAACATTATAACCACCCACCTAATATTGAGTAGGTTCCCTTTTTGCCGCCAAAACAGCCCTGATCTACTGAGGCATGAATGCCACTAGACTTCTGAAGATAAGCCGTGGTATCTAGAACTAAGCCGTCTGTGGCAGATCCTCTAAGTCCCGTAAGTTGCGAGGTGGGGCCTTCATAGTTCAGTCTTGTTCTTTTAGCACATCCCACAGATGCTCAATTGGATTGAGATCTGGAGAATTTGGAGGCCAAGTCAACACCTCAAACTCATCGTTGTGTTCCTCAAACCATTCTTGAACCATTTTTGCAGAGTTGTGCATTATCCTGCTAAAGGAGCCACTGTCATCAGGAAATACAGTTTCCATGAGGGGGTGTTCTTGGTCAGAGACAATATTTAGGTAGATGGTACATGTCACGCAACATCCACAAGATGAATGGCAGGACCAAGGTTTCCCTGCAGGACATTGCCCGAATCCTCACACTGCCTCGACTGGTTTGCCATCTTCCCATACTGCACCCTAGTAAGCCACACACAAACACACACTTTCACACACTGTAAAGGAAAACGTGATTCATCAGACCAGGCCACCTTCTTGCATTGCTCTGTGGTCCAGTGCTGATGCTCGTGTGCTCATTGCAAGTGCTTCTGGCTGTGGACACGAATCAGCATGGGTACCCTGACCGGTCTGCGGCTACACAGCCCTATATGCAACAAACTGCAATGCCCGTTTTTTTCTGCTTTCAACACATTAACTTCAGGGACAACACTTGCTGCCTAATATATCTCACTGACCTTCGGATGCCACTGTAATGAGATAACCAAGGCTGTTCACTCTACCTGTCAGTGGTCATAATGTTATGACTAATTGGTGTATATAAAGGTAAATACAAGATGTTTTTTATTTAGTAGAGAAGGGATGGCTGGAACCCTTGCTCAATCTCCCCTCCTGGGATTCTGGATAGCAGTAAAAACTGACCAGTGGTTCTAATCTTTCTACATTCTATGAAATAAATAATATTGACTGAATGTACACTTTCATTGTATAACGTAATCTCACTCGAGTGACATCACACACTTCCATTACAAATTTTTCTAGGGGTGTGATTTTTTTTCACAAGATAGTTTACAGATGGTAATGTCAAAAGTTTGAACATGACCACAAGCAGCTAACAAGAAGAAAAATACAATACAATAACCTGTTTCAGAATATGATCTCAACAAGCTGTCTGTATTGTGACGCTCTGATACAAAATGAGATCTATTCAGCTGTTGAACTGTGCATGATTTCATACTGTCAACTCCTGATTAATTGATACAGCGCAAGCCGCAAGCAACAGTAACACTCCATCATCCTGGCAGGCCTTTGTGAAGCCAGGATTAGAAAAACATTATTAAGATAACATCAGACATGTGTAGGTAAGATGCTGGTGTTCTATCAATGTTTAAAATGAGAGCGGCTAGGATAACGTCCAGAATCAACACTTCAAAGCCTAATTGGTGGTTGGAGAACACCCCACGGAATGTCATTTCCAAAAAGAACTACGGGGCAGTGAGGACATAGGATGTGGTTTGAAGTAGAAGTAAAAGCAAACATGTAAAAACATAGAGGTTACCCAGGAATCAGATTATGTATGAATAGTACTGAACACAAAACTCAAAGTACCTCTGAAACCTTTAGCAGTGGTCACATGATCATTTCCTTTTGCTGCGCAAATTACACAGAAAAGGCCAAGTGTGGGCTTGAAGGAGCAGCATGTGTTACTATCAATGATGTCTCTGCTGGTTCCTAGACTTTTGAGTCCTAGCAACCCTCTTGTTGTTCTTCCCCCACTTCAGTAGATGCAGAGTGATGGCTGAAAAATGTCCTCGGCCTAAAAACGTACAGGTATAGTAGGCATCAATATGGCTGTTTGCAATTCCACAACCAGGATAGCATTGAAAGATAGTGGGTGAGCACTGTCACCCTAGAATAGGAAGCCCTAGGGTTACAACACTGACATGCTTCCATCCTTAATATGAAACCATGATTTATATTTTGCTAGTGGTGGATTCTGACTTTTGTGCTCTCACTTCCTCACCCTATTTTTCTGTAGAACATCATATTCCTTTCAAGCACACCCTTCCCCTCTTCAATACATGAATCCGCAGATGTTCTCAGCTGTCCCCAGTAGGAACCTCTCAGAGCCAACCGAGGAGGAGATGGCTGCACTAGAGAAAAGCTTTCAGGCAGTTTGTCATCCCCTCAGCTGACTTTATTATTGAGAATTCTTACCTTTCTGTGCCCACATACTGATCAGGAGCTTGGGGAGTGGAGGACTGAAGGGTAGTGTCTACACAGCCTCCAGCAGCAGCACATTTCTTCATGGCCCCTACCAGCATCACATTACATCTTCCTGCAGCCACCTCACACCCCTTCCCTTCCCAAATCACAGCACATTTCTCCAATGCCATGTCAGCCCACAGTTGCAGCACATCCCTCCACCCTCACCTCAGTTCCCCCAAATGCAGCACACTCCTCCATCACCATCGCAGCACATCCCTCCACTGCAACCTTACCCCCTCCAATTACAGGGTATTCCACCACCTCACAAATCCCCCCCCCCCCCCCACCATCACCACTCATCAAAGTTCATATCCCACCACTGCTGGCTTACTGCTCCAATTGCACAACATCCATGCATCATTAACTCATCCCCCAATTTCACCTCAACCCCTCCCCCCAAATGCAGTGTGCTCCTCCACTGCCGCCTTTCCCCCACCAAAAGCCAGCGCAACCCTTTCACCTTCACCTTGCCCCCCATCCCTCCATTGCCACCTCACCCCGTCATTTGCAGTACACCCCTCTGCACCACCTCACACCTGAAGCACAGCACCCCCTTCCACCTGCCTCACCCCTCTATCACATAATGGATCCCCACACATTGTATATATTATTATTAACTTACATAACCAATCTTGTCTCCAAATATCACCCAAACCGTACTCTCCACTCCTCGCACGACATCCTGCTCTCTAGCTCCCTTGTCTGCTCCTCCCATGCTTGTCTCCAGGACTTCTTCAGAGCTTCCCCCATCCTCTGGAACTCTCTACCCCAATTTATCAGACTATCGCCTACTCTGCTCACTTTTAGGCGATCTCTGAAAATCTCTTCAGGGAAGCCTATCCTGCCCTCAGCTAATAATGGGATCTTCTACTCCTCCTACCAGTCCATCCCCCACAGTTACTACTTTTTGTACCACTAGCCCCTCCCTCTTAGATTGTAAGCTCCAAGGAGCAGGGCCCTCCTAACCCTCTTGTATTGAACTGTATTGTTGCTGTATTGTCTGCCGTTATATTGTAAAGCGCTGAGCAAACTGTTGGTGCAATATAAATCCTGTATAATAATAATAATAATATATGTGTCCTACTATGTAGATAAAAAAAGTCCTGAGTGGAGGTTTCCGTTAAACAACCAGTGTGCTGAGTTGACAACACTTTGAAATAATTACTAGGAACAAATGCTGAAGGGAGCGAATGTTAGGCAGCCATTCTTATAACAATGAGGGCATAAACACTAAGTGCTGTCTATCAACAAACACTACATTAAAAAAACACTCACGTGAAAAGATTATTAAAACAATCATACTTGTCATTACAGGACAGGCGATAGGACAAACAGTGACAGTAACAGGGACACAATTTTAAAAGCAAGGAAATCAGGGACAGTTGGCTGAACGATATATCTGTATAGCGGTCACGATTAACAAGAGAAAATCAGCTGTGCTCATTAAAACTCCCATCTGTGACTGCAGACACCAACCCAAATATTGGAGCTTGGCAAGGTGAAGCCGCCACAGCTCTTGGCTGCAGATGGCTCAGCATATACTGCCTTGTATCATCACTAAAAATAAAACAACACCTCCATAAATATACACTACCGAGAGAAGACAGATGAGCCGAGCATGGTGTTAATAGGCCATTACTGGACCTTAAATTTCATTATGAATGCATCCAGCCTGCCCTCTTGTCAATCTAAATAGGCTCCTCCATTAGTGCTAATAACTAGAAGAAATAAAGCGCCAGCACTCTATTTACGTCTTTCAGGAGACAGAAGGGGGAAAAAGCAGAATCATAGAAAACATTTTCATTTTAGGGAAGCAATCAATCATATGATATTTGGCCTTTAGCAAATCAGAATGCTTCCTGGTGCTAAACTCTCCACTGTAAAACAGAACTGAAGTCCCCACCAAAAAGCTGCTAGCAAGTAGGGATTTCTATACACACTTTAAAATCCTATTCTTTGTGTTCACTGAAGGACACAGCTCTTCTTTCAGATCATTACCTAATGGGTATAGTGCCACCTGCATAAGAGAGACACTAGGAACAACAAAAAACAAAACAAAAGACAGACTAAGCATGAACCCTATTGGTAGCCTCAACCCTCCAGAATTTGGAGCAAACTAAACAACACAGCAGTGCAAATAAACTAAATATTTAAATACAAATAGAGAAAAAGCCCAAAGGGCAGATGCTGTGTCCTGCAATTAACGCAGAGAAAATAATTTTACAATGAATATTAAGAAAAAAAAATCATGTTCTTTTCCGTCGTTAGTTGGAGGATATAGCTGTACTTTTAGATAATCAACAACTGGGATGCCCCAAAGCAGTGATAAACATGGTGGGCAAACCAGACTAACCATCTTAAAAGAAAACAATACATGTCCAGTCAAACTGCTGCTTGCAAAACTTTATGCCTGAAAAGGCATCGGCTGATGTAGTCACATCTACCTTGGCATTAACTGGTGACCAAGTGGCCACCTTAGAAACCTGAGGTATTGGCAGAAAGCCCAGGATGCACTTATAGCTCTAGAATAATTTGCTGTAACTGGAAATGGTGGTTCTAAGTGCTTAGTAGCATATGCTTGGACAATAATTTGCCAAATCAAGTGCAAGATAGTTGCAGTCAAAACTGCAAGGCCCTTATGCAGACCCTCTACAACCATAAACAGGGAATCTCACCCATGAAACACGGATGTGACATGCAAACATCCAAGGAATACAAGGCAACTTCCTTAGGGTAGACTGGCTTGGGACAAAGCGACAACGTGCAATGGGGGAGATTTACTAAAACCATAGCAATCAGAATATTATGCAGCTGCGTATGGTAGCCAATCAGCTTCTACATTCAGCTTGTTTAATTAAGCTTTGGCAATAAAACCTGGAAGCTGATTGATTTCTATGCAGAGCTGCACCAGATTTTGCACTCTCCAGTTTTAGTAAATAACCCCCAAGGTCTTCATTCAAGTGGAAAGCTTATACCACGTTAGGCAGGAAAGAGTCTTGGATGCAGGAAAATCTTATCCTTATAAAGGACTAAGATATAGAGGCTTGTAGGACAACACCACAAACAACGATACTCTACATACCCAACATGGAATGCTACTTCCCGAGTGAGCAACAGCAGCAGAATCTCCGATATTCTCAAAAGTTGTTTTTTGCAACACTGACAATACCAAGGTAAGGTCCCACAGTGACAATGATGACTTGACTAGAGAGATAACATGTGTAATACCCTGCTTGGAAAACTGGTAGTGATGCCAGAGGATGCTAAAATAAGAATACCAACGCTGACACCTTACCCTAGGCCCAATTCACGATAGTGCAGTAACCAGCGCTTTACTGCTCTGTAAAACGCCAGTCATCGCTAGGACATGTAGAAAACAATTGTTTTCTATATGTCCTATTCACACTGAAATGCAGCCCAGAGCTGCACTAAGTGATCTGCCATAAAATGTAGACATGCTGCATTTTATGGCAACGTACTGGACAGGACGTCACAGGACAGCAGTGCAATACATTGACATGAATGAAGCATCACTTTTGTACTCTTAATGTTGGTACTTCGCATTGGTGAATTGAGTACCAGACTGCCCCCTACTGCCTGTTCACTGCAGCTGGAATGGGCAGCTGCTGGACAGTAAACCGCTATAGTTTAACTGTGTGGGTGCTATACAGAAAAATAATGAGGGCATTCCCCTAGGAACTCATATTATGCTAAGACATGGCCATGTGAACTGGGTGGTAAAATGAGTCCTTGCAACAAGAGGTCTTCATGAAGCAGTGGAGGCTAAGAAGCATCCACTTCCAGGTAAACCTGCTCGAAGAGTATCATGACCTGCAGGGTCACAGGATCACGGAATCCTTTTGACCTCTATTAGGTGTAGCAACAGAAACAGTCTTCATGAGGGTGGCCTGAGGGCCCGGCATCCTCTAGTGGACCCTGTGCTCACTGCCTGGCACAATAGATCTCGATTGGAATTTGCCCTGAACACCAGAATTGACAGGCCCGCCACTAGATCCATTTTCACAGATGAGAGCAAGTTCACCCTGAGCACATGTGACAGACATGAAGGGGTCTGTTGAAGCCATGGAGAATGTTATGCTGCCTGTAACATCGTTCAGCATGACTGTTTTGGAGGTGGGTCAGTGATGGTCTGGGGTGGCATATCCATGGAGGGACACACAGACCTCTACAGGCTAGACAATGGCACCCTGACTGCCATTAGGTATCCGGATGAAATCCTTGGATCCATTGTCAGACCCTACGCTGGTGGAGTGGGTCCTGGGTTACTCCTGGTGCACGACAATGCCTGACCTCGTGGCGAGAGTATGCAGGCAGTTCCTGTAGAATGAAGTAATTGATACCACTGAATGGCCCCCACGCCCGGCTGACCTAAATCCAATAGACCATCTCTGGGATATCATGTTTTGGTCCATCCGATTCTGACAGGTTGCACCTCAGACTGTCCAGGAGCTCAGTGATGCCCTTGCCCATATCTGGGAGGAAGTACCCCAGGACACCATCTGTCATCTCATTAGGAGCATGCCCCAACATTGTCAGGCATGCATACAAGCACGTTAGGGTCATACAAACTACTGAGTACAATTTTGAGTTGCTGCAATGAAATTTCAGCAAAATGGACTAGCCTGCCGCATCATATTTTCACTTTGATTTTCAGGGTGTCTTTGAATTCAATCCTCTGTAGGTTGATAACTTTATTTTCCATCAAACGATGGGGCAGCCTTACATTCCTAACACATTACCCAGTCCATATCAGTATAGCTATCCAGCATGGTATTTTTCCCCATTGAGATCTGATGTGTTTTCAAAGTGTTCCTTTAATTTTTTTGAGCAGGGTATAAATCTGCAGTAATACCTCTCACACCCCAAGAAGCAGAAATGGGGGTTCTTCGAAAAGTGACTATACATTGCAAAACGTCTGATACCTACCAAAGTCCTAACTCCATATTGCTTCTCCACTTTCTCTTTAAGTTGCTTGAAACACACCTCCATCCTCTCGTGAAATGGCCGTAAAGCTTCAGTGACCTTTTCTCCATGAATGCGTATTCCCTCAGCCAGGAACGGCACCTTAACAAAAAATAAAAAACATCAAATAATTAACAAGCAATTGACAGGAACAGTTATCAGGAAAATCTGGGAAAATTATGTTTAGTCAGGAGTACTCCTTAAAGATTAAATAGAGAAGAATACAGTGCTGGATGGTTAAAAAGAATGCAGATTGCTCTGAAGACTGGAGCAAAGACATCGTTCATTCTCCTAAAGTAAATAGGAATACTCCCACCTTCCAGCATAGCCAGCCATCAAAAGGATAGAGCTTGGCTTTTCAGCCAGGTCACTGTTGTAATTGGATTAAATTGTATTTCTATAGATTCTAGTGGAGGATCTGCTGGAGAAATCAAGGAAATGAAATTCAGCATCAGATCCCTAGTTGCACACATAGCTCTGGAGAAAAGACTTCAGTCTATCACAGTCAAATTATAGGTGGGGAATGATTGCACTGGTAGTATCTGAAAGCAGTAAGGAGTCTTCTATTTTTCTCTGCAGGGATTTACTTGTATGCAAAACAAGAGTATTTCAAAAACAAATGTCTGGATTGGCACATTACAGTATTACAGATTTCTGTAAAATTCACACATTACCTTGAGAGACCAAGGAAATGTAGCAGCTTACTAATCAAAGTACCATCTTGAAAAAATTGTGAAATGTTAATGTGAAAATGTTAGAATGCAATGATAAATTATTCTGGGTGTGGCCATACGGAATAATTTTATGCAGTGCCTAGTTGCTCCATAGACACACACAGCCCAGTTTGGAAGCAAGTCCATACCTGTAGCAAGCAGTTTGCTATGGGGGCACTCAGATAAGGGGAGGAGCAGACAGTGCTGGTGGGGGATACCAGAAGAGGAGGTTCAGGGCTGGTCTGTGCAATACCATTGCACAGAGCAGGTAAGTAGAACATGTTAAATATTTTAAAAAAATATACCTTTGCAACCACTTTAAATATTCTTTGTTACAGTAAAGATATGGTTGTTGTATGAGAGCTGAGCATTCAAGGTGGAAAGGAATCTCCACCTGAACTGAGAATTCAATCAGAAACACTTGCCTTTTAAATTGACAAGGAGAAGAAGAGGGATAACATTCTTTGTCACATAAGAAATGAATAGATGACAGAATCGGGCTGAGGAATGCAATGCAATGATACATCTGCAGAGCAGATAAATACCATTGAAATGTACAAGCTGCACTCATCAGTCTGATACACAGAAATTGTTTGCTGTCTCTGTAATGTGTGTCCTTGCACAAGGTGACAATGGGGACTTTTACCTGCCATGCAATCAGGTCCTTCAATTTTTCAATATTTTCAAGGTCCTCTGGGTGTTCCTGCATGTATTTCTCAGTGAAGAAGGCCTAGAGAGATAGTGGTAGACATTAAAATATGGGATTCCCTTAGTACTTCAATGTACACATAAAAACACAGGTGCTTAAGAAAAGGATATAAATAAAGCAATGCTCACTACATCAAGGGGTTAACCTACCCAATCGTGACAAGTAGAGTGGTTAGCAGTCTTACTTGTTTAGTTCTTATACCTCTAGATCAAAATCACGGGGGGGTTCCTTAGTAGTCTTTTAACAGGAATCCAGGACACTGGAAATAGGGATGGCTGCCATTTCCAATGCTCTGAAAATGCAAGTTCACCTGGTTGTCTTTGGACCATATAGGAAAGCAAAGCCACGGTACAATGAGAACTACAGAGCAGCATAGCTTTATATAGAAATTGACTCATTTGTGTTTGTTATTTGAAGCCTTGGCTATTTGAGTTGCTACTGAACATGAAAACCATCATATGCACTATATTGCCAAAAGTATTGGGCTGCCTGCCTTCACACGCACATGAACTTTAATGGCATTCCAGTCTTAGTCTGTAGTGTTCAATATTGAGTTGGCCCACCTTTTGCAGCTATAACAGCTTCAGATCTTCTGGGAAGGCTGTCCACAAGTGTAGGAGTGTGTCTATGGGAATGTTTGACCATTCTTCCAGAAGCACATTTGTGAGGTCAGGCACTTTGTGCACTGATGCGCAGTCATGTTGGAACAGGAAGGAGCCATCCACAAAGTTGGGAGCATGAAATTGTCCAAAATGTCTTGGAATGCTGACGCCTTAAAAGTTCCCTTCATTGGAACTAAGGGGCCAAGCCCAACTCCTGAAAAACAACCCCACACATAATTCCCCCTCCACCAAACTTTACACTTGGCACAATGCAGTCAGGCAAGTACCGTTCTCCTGGCAACCGCCAAACTCAGACACGTTAATTGGATTGCCAGACAGAAAAGCATGATTTTTCATTCCAGAGAACAAGTCTCCACTGCCCTAGAGTCCAGTGGCAGCATGCTTGACACCACTGCATCTGACGCTTTGCAATGCACTTGGTGATGTAAGACTTGGATGCAGGTGTTCGGCCATGGAAACCCATTCCACCACTGTTATGCTAATCTGAAGGCCACACAAAGTTTGGAGGTCTTTAGCTATTGACTCTGCAGACAGTTGGCAATTTCTGCGCACTGTGCGCTTCGGCATGCGCTGACCCCGCTCTGTCATTTTACGTGGCCTACCAATTGATGGCTGAGTTGCTATTGTTCCCAGTTGCTTTCACTTTGTTATAATACCTCTAACAGTTGACCGTGGAATATTTAGTAGCAAGGAAATTTCACGGATGGACTTATTGCACAGGTGGCAACCTATCACAGTACCACACTTTAATTCGCTGAGCTCCTGAGAGCGACCCATTCTTTCAGAAATCTTTGTAGAAGCAGTCTGTATGCCTAGGTGCTTGATTTCACACACCTGTGGCCATGGAGGTGACTGGAACATATGAATCCAATAATTTGGAGGGGAGTCCCAATTCTTTTGGCAATATAGTGTAGGTTCAGGAGATGTTCACAAGGTATAAAAATCTTTTGGCCCAGATAAAATTAGGAAGTTATATTATTTGACATGTAACAGGCACATATAAGCCCGATCCCCCGATGAACTGACATCTTAATTTTTTCAACTATTAAGAGGGTGAATGGATGCAATAAATAAAACTACAGGTAAATCCAAAGACCTTAAATAAGGATAAACATTTTAAAATGGCACGCTTAACACTACCTTGGAACCTCATGTTGAGAATTTATTAAAACTGGAGCAGCAATGCATAGAAAAACCTTAGCTTCTAACTTTAACTTGTTCAGTTAAGATTTGAAAATGAAAGCTAGAAGCCATGCAAAGCTGTGCTCCAGATTATGGTGCTCTAGTCTTAGTAAATCCTCTTCAAAACGTAGAGAGAATATATACACACCACTACAGGAGTAAAGAATTACCTTCTCATAATTTGCAAATCCCCCCATTACTGCTGGGTCCACAATACCATTCAGGAGTAAGGATAGAGGATTTATGGGTAAATTGGGGTCATTCATGTGCTGCTGCACCATATTATTAATCTTCTCATTCGTGAGTTGCATCGTCTCAATTGCGTTTTCCAGTGGACTTATCTCTTTCTGGAATGGGAAAAAAGACGTTAAACCAAAAGCATTCCCTATATCTTTTAAACTTCTAGGGCAGCAATAAATTGGCTAATAACTTTCTAGCTTTGAGTGCTTGCTAGTACGAGTACTGATTTCTCCATAGCAGTTTTTGTTAGAGATCAACAAAGCACAATATAATTCCTCTCCATGCCAAAGTATGTTTATTGAGGGTGATACAAATTGCCTAGGTATGGGCACAAACCTCCATGGCTCAGCCCAGCCTGCAAAGTAAACTCTACAGAGAAAGGAAAGAAGCAAAATTAAGGAGGGAGACCAGCTTACCAGTGGGGGAATAAACGGCTGGGTTTTCAAACCTGCCTGATCAACCAAAGAGAGATTGCCTTGATGGTCCATAAAAACAGTCAATATAGCTCTATAAATCCATTTAACCTAAGTATTGACCATTATTAATCAAAATGCTATTTGCCATTTCCAAACTCACGGCTCTCATCAGAACAATAAAGCTGCGGAACCACCATGGCTAACTATTTCTGCTCTCTTCTCCATAATTCTCAATAACTGCAAACATGGAGGTGGTACTGCGGAAATGTGATTCTCAGTTTGGATTGGTTCTGTAGGCAACCATGAGCCAGTCTCAAATTCTGGAATGTGTACCTCCCCAGTAGTCATCTACTTGTGGTTTGCTTTGTAATTACCATACTCATAGCCTTCACTTCAAACCATCTCAGGATGCCTGGAAGCTTGTAAGCTATTGAAAAAGTTGTTCTCTCGATCCACATATTCTGAAATGACAATAGAAATACATTTATATATTAATAAAATTACAGTAGCAGGCATGAACATTAATATTATTATTCCTCTGGCCAAAAGAATGCGGACACTCCTCCAAATCATTGGAGTTCAATTGTTTCCAATGAAGGGTACTGTTAATATTACAGCATACGAAGATAAATTAGACAATTGCACTTTTATATAGACATGGTTAGATGAGCATGGTGTGCAGAGTTGCACACAGCCCTGACTGCAACCCTTCTGAACTCTGCTGGAATGAAATAAGTGCAAGGCAGGCCATCTCATACAATATCAGTGTCTGAACTCACAAATGTTGTTTGGGTATAAAATCCTAAATACCCCAAAATTTGTAAAAAGCCTGTAGGAAGATTTTAAGTAAAGATTTCATAATAATGCCTATAGTTTTGCAATGGATGTTCAACAAGCTCACACAGATGTGACACCCACGTGTCCACAAACTTTTAGCTACATATTGTAGCCTGATCAAGAACTCTGGTAAGCATTTTGTACATGTATCATAATTTAGTGACAGGTCTTTTGTCAGTAAAAACTTAAATTCTTCTTGTTTTGTCACACACACCAAGTCATAACTGTGGAAATCTAAATCAGTAAAAAAAAAAAAGGTTCCCCTATGCTAATGCAAGGAGACGTAGTCACAGCCACTACATCTGTATTGGTGTCACACACTGGACTTAAATTAGAAGCATTCAAATTGCAAGAGAGGAAAAAACATTAACTAGTTATATTTAGTGTTCTTAGCAGCTTCTTAATTAAAACAGTACTCAATTCTTTTTATAAGTTGTCTTCGTGAAAGTTTTTTTTTTTGGCAAAAGATATTCTTTTAGTATATATGCCAAAGATAATGGTATAACAGAAAGCTGTAGAAAAGCTCACGCTAAAGCAAATGCACAGCCCTTGGAGTCACTGTCACTTCAAGCTGTGCGGCCTTTAACCACTTGCCGCCCGCCCTATGGCCGAATGGCGGCCGGCAAATGTCATCAGTGTTCCGGGTGGACACCATATGGCGTTCTCCCGCACATGCGCAGATTGTGCTCCTGCAGAGCCACGCAGCGGCGCGATCTGTCACCGGCCGTGTACCTCGGACACGGCCGATGACAGATCTGAGTATCGGCCCCCGTTGCCGGTACCATGTGATCTGCTGTGACCAACCACAGCAGGTCACATGACAGTTGTATACAATGGATGGCTTCATTCATGTAGTATACTAGTGTCTAGCTGTGAATGTTCACAGCTAATCACATGCACATGTCCAAATTCACAGTGACACTGCAAGAATCTTATGGCCAAAAGCTGCATTCACGGGAACTTTGAGAAGGTATGAATGGAAGACCAGGTGGCAGCCTTACACAGTTGGGCTACAGAGGTTTGGTGTCAAAATCCCAGGAAACACCTAAAGATCTGCTGGAGTGGGAACGCAACAGCACAAGAAGAGGTTTGCTTAAGAGCATAAGCTCTAGCAATAAAGTTCCTTATCCACTGTGTAATGGTGGATTTTGAACCAGGGTGCACCTTGCGAGGTCCTGAGGAAACAACAAACAGGGAATCCGTAGGTCTGATGGAATGTCTTTGGATGCTTAGGAGCAGGGAACAAGGGTGGGAGATGAAATGCTAAAACTTCTTTTGTAAGAAAGGATAGTCTTGAGTGTAAAGCTCGGTATACTCTGAGTTTTTTTTGTTGTTCAACCAGTGGGTTTAACGAAAAGAAAAAAAAAAAACGTCACAGATTCCTGCTGCTGTGTAGGAATTAGAAGACAGTGAGGTGTTAATTGAAGAATTCTAAGAAATTATAAACTAGTGAAGTTGATTTCTCCATGAAAAAGAAGAGGTCCAACACCTTCAGACACCAGCTAAAGCTCAGGACTGACAGGGTGAGGTAGGGTTATATGGAAGATGTGTCCTCAAAAGTTTGCCAGCACCTGAAGGTACATGCCTATAACCCATGGTATATAAATGTGTTATGGTCAGGGAAGGTTGGTGCAGCGGTGGGGGCAGTTACAAGCACCGATCTCCCTGTATTGCTTTCAATAAAGCAGCTAAAAGCAACAGGAGGGAGAGAAGGAGAATCAGCTTCCAGCTGCTTCAAGGAAATCCATACAGGGAGAATGGTGCTTGTAACTACCCCCCACTGTTGCACCAACCATCCCCGACCATCCATGGGATTTCCCTTTCTTTCTGCCCCAACCCCCCCCCCCTTGCTCCTCAGTGCCCAGCCCCTCCCCCATCGTTCCCACCAATAGGAGAGCAGAGAGGCTGGATCTGCTCTGCCTCCCCCTGTGCCCACCCACACTCCAGTCCATGCAGCTTCTCAGAAGAGGATGTGTGGGCAGGAAATAGTATACAGAGCAGCTAGCAGTCCTGTGATGCTTCTGACTGAGCAATCTGAATCCGACCGACCTTCCTTCCTTCCTTCCTCCCTACCCCCCTCCTTACCCCTCTTCCTTCCTTTCCTCCCCCTCTTCCTTCTTTTATCCCTTCCTACAGTCCATACCCGTCTTCCTCCACTATGCGTCACACTGCTGACCTCCACATTGTGAGTAATTTTGTTTTCCTATTGATGTAAAGCACTTATTTTCCTTTTATGTTTACATTGTTTTTTGTTAATATTGTTAAAGAAGTTACTGTACATATAGTTACATAGTTAGTCTGGTTGAAAAAAGACAATCCATCCAGTTCAACCATAGAAAAAAAAAAAGTTATAATCCTATACCCACAGTTGATCCAGAGGAAGGCAAAAAAAAACCCCCAGCCAAGCACGATCTAATTTGCTCCTGCTGGGAAAAAAAATTTCTTCCTGATCCCCTGAGAGGCAACCGGATATTCCCTGGGTCAACTTTACTATTTTTTATTATTTATTTTTGTAACGAAAAAGAACACAAGGGAGCGCCTCTAAGTGCAGTATTAAAAACAATCTAATGAATCATAGGTATAGCACTCACATGCATGAAGAAGTAAGAAATATTGTAAAGTGTTATAGATGACTCATAAATGGGACCACAGCCACTCGTCAGATGATATATCTGCAGCAGAGTCTGGGACCACCGTGGACCGCACGACTGCAAGTGGTGTCAAGGAACGTTGGTCCGTAGCCTAGGTAACGCGTTTCGGAGCACCAATCAGCACCTTTGTCAAAACCTCTTCACTTGAGTCATCTATAACACTTTACAATGCTTCTTACTTCTTCATACATGTGAGTGCTATACTTATGGTTCATTAAATTGTTTTTAATACTTAGAGGTGCCCCCTTGTGTTCCTTTTCGTTCTTACGGAGATATATTCCAGTCTCTCAGTGGAGATGCCCATGGGTGCTTTTTCTGGACTTTATGATTATGATATGGACTAAATGGACTTAATACTAGTCTATCGCTATTTGCATTCCATACTGTTTTTTACTTTAGGTTTGCGCCATATGCCATTTGTATTACAGATTAAACAGTGTCATTTCATGAAATAACTTACAAGGGATTGTTTAGGGGTGGAAATAGGAGAAGGGCGCGTAAAGTAGGGGTTGGGTGGGGCAAATGGTGTTATAGGCCTGGCTAGTAGCTCAGGACTTGAAATGTTGAGCTCTGCTATATGAAAAAGATGTGTTTGGTAGAATATCAGTAATGCTCCAGTTTACTTACAGAAAATTCATTGTCAGGATCTTTTTCTCTCCTTTCCTTATAGGTCTGGAGTACTGGAATCGAACAACCTCATTCACCCTGTAGAAACTGCAAAAAAACAAGACAAAGAGGTCAGTGATTAGTGTAGCAGTACACATGGTAAACCATAGACAGCACATCCATACAAAGTCAATATTTCAGTTTGAGTCAATACTGGCCAGCATAAGCATTTTATGGCTTTTAATATCTCTTGGTGGCAGAGTATTCGCACTTGGATGCCCTTTTTAACCCAGAGGGAGGAAGGGAAGTCACTCTGGCTGCAGTATTTCCCATCTCCCTATTACAGAGAATGCAGCAGAAGGAGGGAGACCTCCGTTTTCCGTTACGTTATGCTATGTGAATGGGAGCATGTAACAAAGTAGCGGTTATCCCAATATGGCTGCAAAAATGGAAATACACTTTAAAAAGGTCATCCAAGTCCAACAAGGACCATGCTGCTTGGTGCACAGCACTAGGATTCATTAAACTTTACAAGGAGTGAACACTGGCTACCTGATTAAAGTTATAAACCCTGTCAGATTTTTATTGCTACCCGTGGAGACTCATCCTCTCTGTTTGTCCTGGTGATCATTGGTCCTCAAATTGAAAGAGAGAAAATCTAAAATTTTGACCTGTCAATGAATAGAGGGAATCATGTGCCAGTGAAAACTGTCTAAGAAGCGATTTCCCTTATTTTGGAGAGGTCTAATCACACTTTCTGTTGTGCCTGTAACAGGAAATGAAATACAATCTCCTCAGTGAGAATGCAAAAAAAAAAAAGAAGTTTGGTGGCTTTAAAATATAATTTAAAGGTGAACTCCAGGAAAAGTAGAAAAAAAAAATGTCCCATGCAGTACAGGTCATGGAAAAAGCTGTTTTACCTATGTGAGCCTCCAGGAGGCTCCTCTGTGCTGCTAGACCAGTCCCTGCAGCCTCTTCTCCCCTGAACTCCAGAGGTCTAAGGTCCACTAATGTCATTAAGATACCTTCAGGACAAGCAGCCCTGCATTGGACGTGAGGAAGCAGAGGAACACTCCAATGCTGGCACATGGGAATGTGTAGATTGCTGGAGGAGTAGGTTAATAAAATTGCCTGTCCCCTAGACAGAAACAAGCATTTTAACCATTGCAGTACAGGCATAGCCATACTGCAAGGGAGGGCTTTTACTTTTCATGGAGTTGGGCTTTAAATGACCACCTACTTCCACTGTGCAGCACATTGCAAAACGCCAGTGTTCACATCAGCCTATATGTAGCCTAGGTTCACACTGCTATGCATGTGCTGGAAGCACACCAATGTAGTACAGGATCCTCTTCCAAAATTGTGCCCTGCGGAGTTGCACTGATGTGAATGGGCACCATTTTCACAGTCATGCATTTCTGTGTGACTCAAGTCGCATCTGAAATCACACTAGTGTGGGCCTTATTGTTTAATCAAAAGACAGAAGTACAGCAGCACTACAATTGTTACCATCTAAAGAACAATATTTAGAAAGAACATGATCAAGTGATGGTAATCTCGTCTTTGTGTAGGCGTTTTTAGAGGTAATGGGTAATAATGTACTTTGTTATTATGTTTTTCCATTGGCTGTATTCTGTTAAATTTCTCAAATCTACTGGACAGGTACCCTTCTAATAGCGTATGCAGGAACACCTATGAGTAATTAAAAAGCTATTAAGCTATTATTCATTCGAATATTGAAACTCCTTGCTTTAATGAGCTTGACAAATTGAAATATGTCATGATAACAGACTGTACCTTTCTCCCCAAACACAGCTCAATGTAAATGATGTGCAAAAAATTTAGAGGAGTTTTAACTGTCTCGGCATTCCATAATGATCGGTGTAGAAAACATGCCTGTGGATTAGGTCCCAGAGGAGCCAGATCTGAAAGGCCCATCTCCGGCTATTACATAGCCCCGGGCATTTGTGTCTACATTGCTGCAGCCCACCGCTCTTTACATACCTCACTTACTCCCTAATCTATACTCAGAGCAGCCACACGTTATGTCCCATAGGAACCCCTCCATACAGCAGGGAATCCCACTGTGAAAATGTCTTTTTTTTAAATGCTCTGTACAGAATTAAATATTGAACAGAAATAAAGATAAACAAAGTTTTCCTAGTTTTACTGTGATATCAGTGAAAAGGTTCAGTGTGCATTTAAAATGGAAGGTGGCCATGACTTACTATAAATATCTATTCTCACATTTTTATACACCACCGACATATATTTATACTAGTAGATAATGTATACATACTCTATACATTTTTTAACAAAATAAAATATTAACAAAAAGTGTGAGAACCCTTTTTTTTGTAAATCTTAAAGGGGTAGTAAACATTGCTTGGTGACTTGTACCTACAGGTAAGTCTATAATAAACCTGTAGGTACAAGAAATATCTCCAAACTGTGCACCATTTAGGAGATTTCTGCACACTGAAGGGATGGCATACCGAGTATGCTGTCCCTTTTGAGCGCTGGGCAGCGATTGTGGATCCTGTGCACATGTGCAAGAGTGACGTCATTGCAGCTCGGCCAAGCAAGCGGCCGAAGCCCAAGAATTCGGAAGGAAGAAGATGGAAGCCCTGAAAGCAGTGACAGCACGTTGTTGGACGGATTGATTTTAAGGTAAGTCTTTCATAATGTGTGAGTATGTGATGCATACTAGCACACACTGACATTAACTTGCAGGGGGAAAGTTTTTTTCTTTATTTTGCAGACTTTACTACAACTTTAACCCCTTTCTGCTGCCAAGTCCTGGCCCTTTAAGAGCTTTTAAATGCTCAGAGGCGGAGGAAGGCATTTGGGTCATGCAACCTCTGATTGGCTGTCACAGAGGTCACATGATTGGAGAGTGTCTGATCGCTAGTATGCTTCAGGTACTTTCCGGTACCGCCAGTGTCTTTGCTGGGAGTATACAGGGCGTGCACTCTAAGCATACAGAGTTGGTTATTATGGGCCACATATATGCGGCCCCTTGGTGTTAAATACACCCACTGAGAGGCTGCATATATGCGCCACATCAGTGTGAAGAGGTTAAAGTGTATGTAAACACTAACAATGAACCTGTGGTCTGTTAAATATAACACTAAAAGCATTTGGTCATAACGGTTTGGTTATATCTGTATCTACACAATGCTTGAGAGGTAAGCTGCACTGTTGTGTAACAACTAAAGAGCAGAGATTTAGATTATTACAAATGGCCACTGATGACAGGTTCTCTTTAAGGTACCATATAAATGACATAGCAGTCACTTGATTTAACAACTTTTGACATAAACGGGCAATGATCTCATGTACAACGAGAACCTCATATCCCAACCTAGCTAGAAGATGTTCTGGGGTGATCAGAGACCACAGAAAGTCTACTTTGATTGCTACTCGTTTACCCACTTGGGTAAGCGGCACAGGTTTCCTCTCTATTCGTAAATGCTCTGCCAAGGCCCTGCTATTTAGCTAATCTTGCTACCTAGGGGCAGTCAAAATGTACACACACATCCAACTACCATCTAATATCTATTGACAGGCTCACATTATAGTAGGGAACTATAGAATGCAGTTCAGTTGAAGAAATGGCAAAAAAAATAAATTTGATGTGATGGTTTAAAATATATTAAAATCCCTCAGATGTGCACAGGCATGTAAAATACAGTTACAGTGCTTATTGCAATCTGGTATAAAAGATATCACTTGGGTAATAAGTGTGCAAGAAGAAGACAACAAAACGGTTATAAAATATTGACCTTCACACTTGGATAGGCCGCAGCAGAAGGTGGAGCTGGCAGCTTAGGACCAAAGAGCCTGCTGCCAAAATCATCAATTTCTAAAAATAACATAAATCATCACTTGGTAGATATCCCCTTTAACAGCAGCTGTTTGCTGATTTTCTACACTTATCCCGAGTTTGCACAAAGCTTCAAGCATGTAACTACAGCTATGGCAGCCTATGGGGGTGTAGGAAACACAGGGAGCCAGGTACAGTCTGTCTGCATAAAGATGTATTCAGGTAACAGTGGAATTTAAAAGAGAAAAAAAAAAGAGAAAAAAAACAAATGTAACATTCATTAAAACTATTAGTGACTGCAGCATAATTTTATTTATAGACAGAAATCAGTAAATTTTAACTAAATTGACCTTGTGGCATTACATTTTCAAATGTGTCTTTACATAAAAAATATAATATAAACGTAATTCAAAGGCATTACAGCACAGTAAGTATACAGTGATATAGCACATAAAAGAAAGAAAAATAGGACCCTGGTGTGGCCTTTTTCTTCTCCCCAGCTCTTAATAGTTCATATCCAATCCAACTTCAGTGGCCAAAAAGTCCTACAGTTTTCTTTCTTTAAAAGTCAACCACAGCTATGTCTCCTGTCAGAATGCTGCAGAGAAGGATCCTTTCTTTCTGTAGGAAAGCAATAGTCTGATTGCAGAGGACAGACACACCCCTTGGTGAGTCCAAGGGAGAGCTCTCCAATCAACCGAGAACATGAGCTTTGCTGATTCCAGAACTTAAAGGTCTCACTCAGTAGGAGGCTAAACCTCTGCAATCAGACCATTGCCTCTCCACAGAACAAGGGTCCCACTCTGCAGCTGCTGGCAGGGGGCAGACCTTTTACTCAGGTTGTGGATGCTTTAAAGTGTTACTACACCCACAACAGTAAAATCAGTCTGTATATGCAGTAAAGAATGCTTGGTATATTCACTGTGGAACGTGTTAATCCTCTGCATAGTGTAAAAAGGCTGTTTGATCCAGTCTTCTCTGCCCCTCCTCTTATTCAAATGTCCGCGCTAATAAGACAGACTGAACCCGTAGCCCTTCTGCACATGCTCAGTTTAGTGTGTATTGTTAGAGGTGTTTTTTTTTTTTCTTGAGAGAGTGCGTGTGATCAGCAAAGAGCCAATCAGCACCGTCCAGACAGAGGTCATGGATTCTGCATCCTACTAGAGCAGAATGAAAACTCCTACAAGCTTTAACCAGTGCTCTGCTGGACACTGATAGATGTCACAAGAGACTGCTCTTAATGCTGATGAGAAAAGGTATTTAGCAGTTTTATATTTATTAAACTGTGTTTCCATGTTGTGTGTATTGTGGGAGACCAGATATAGTGAATGCAGGGTCCTGGGTTTAGTAACACTTTAAGTAAACAAAATGTAAAGCACAGACCACCTTTTGTTTTGAAGTACCTGGAATATCTTTAGTGCAATGTAAGCTGTGCTGTCACTTGCGGTAATGCAGTGGAAGGGGTGGGCGCAAATACCAATCTTTCCACAGTGTCAGTTCCTGATATGCAAATGAGCTTTTCTAATGCAAGTAACCAATGTAAAACCAAGCAAATGTAGACAAAATGATATAAGCATCTCCAGAAATTTTAAATAATATGCTGCTTTTTAAATTAAGCAGGGTAGTACTACACTCTGCAATGATTTTTTTTTTATATGGCAGCACAATATACTGTTTTCTTCTTTCAGAGCACTGCTTATGTACCCAGTACTGGAGCAAGGATTCTGACGTACTGTGATAGTATGCCACTCTGTGTCCCGGGGGGTACACTGTCTCCCTCCCTCTACATACTATAACAACGCACAGAGCTGCATGGGTGAGCCAGCACTAGCTCACTATTATGTAACATCTTTTTCGCATCTGCTGCACAATTTCAGCCCTCCTGGGGATTACTGTATGATCACAAAGCGGAATTACGTAAATTCAGTAGACAAATATAAGCTTTACTCACAAAATGTGGACAGATCAGTTAAATAGTCATAATGGTTTTTGTTTTGTTTTTTTTTTTTTGCAACATCATCCTACAAATGCCATCTATGGACCTTTGGGAGAAAATTAAATTAAAAATAAAGGTGCAATTAAATGTGCAAGCTATAAAAGCTAATGGAACACTAGATCTACCTTAGTATCTGCTCAGAGACGTGCTTATTCTTAAACTTCGGGGGCAATTCAAGCAGTGGTTTTACCGTGAAACACTGAATATCTGATTGTCAGAAAGTAAAGGAAAATGCTGGGAAAATCATTTCCATCTTTGAAAAATGTGTATCTAAATCCAAAAGGTTTTTTGTTTTTCCATCTTGGATAATCAAGGAAGGGGTTACCAGCCCTTGTCAAGTTTTTCTTGTGGTCTGTATTCCCACTGAGGAAATTTACTGTGTTATTTGTCCTAGTAATCATTGTCACCAGGACTGAAAGTGAGAAAACCCAACATTTTAAGTTTTCACTGGAACAAGACTAGAGGGGAAATCTGCCCATGGCAGAGCTGTTCCAGTGAAATCAGTTTGAGACAAGATTTCCCTTAGTTTGAAGAGATCTCCTCTCATTTCCTAATGTGTTATGACACAGGAAACAAAGGAAAATCCCCCCAATAGGACAAAAACAGAATAAGAAAAAAAGTTTTTGTTTTAGACATAATGAAGGGAATTTAACAAAACTGGAGCAGAAAGAATCTGGAGCAAGTGTGCATAAAAACCAATCAGCTTCTCTTTGCTCAGTTAGGCTTCAAAAATGAAAGATAAAAGCTGACTGGTTTCCACACAAAGCTGCTAAAGATTTTGGCTGCTCCAGTTTTGATAAATTCTCCTTATACTTTTAAAGTTGCAGCCAGAGGGTAGCTGGTTCTAACCATAAAGACAAAGCTTGCACCTGCTGATGGACACCAATTTTAAGAGAACCTGTTACTGTAACAAAGGACCTTTAGGGGAGACATGAATGGAAATACTACTGGGTGAACTTAATGACGTCAACTTGGCAAATCACTGTGTTTTAGAGCAACAGAAAACTTTGGGCACTGCTCAAATGCAATGCACGGTTTTGGATGTTCCATTCATGGTATATATAGAATAACTCTGAGTTAATTTATTTAAAACATGAGTGACACATACAAATGAGTGCAGTGGGTGTTTTGAAGAAAGTAGCTTTTCTGTATTAGTGTCAACAGGTTATAAAAATGTGTTATGCTTTATACATCTCACCATTAGATCTCCACTACTTTGTTACCCATTGTGCTTCTGTTCATTATTCTACATGCATAATACCCTGATAAAATCACAAGGTAAGCCACAGCAAAGATACAGTACAACAAGTGCCAGAATATCGCTTCACAGTAGCTAGTCATTTTCCCCCTCTTACCAAAGTCTACAGGAAACAATTGGCACCAACTGTAGACTACCACTGCTAGTGAGAATAAGCAGTACCGATGCTCACACATCTATCAGCCATTAACTACCACAGTCCCTGATTGTTGCTAAACAAAGGACCTAAACTTGTCCTTTTCGCATGATGGTCTATATACAAACTGTAATGTTTATTAAAAATGTGCACAGGGCTACAACATACAGCATCGTGGCCACCAATTACAATAACTTCAGACCTGTGTTAAGAGAAGCAAAAAGTGATTTTCTGACTGGTGGCTGTGGGTTACTACATTATGTCATTCCTTATTTAGTAGAAGCCAACATTCTTTATATTCAAGGATACACTGTCCAGTAGAGTTCTTGATGTCATCTCCTGGTGGAGAAGTCGTCTTCATCTTTTCCGCATTGGGAAACTGGGTTAGCAGCCGAGCCTCAAAGTCTTCCCGTCGCTCGTACTCTTTCCCTCTGTAGATGAACACTTTGTTCTGAAAAACAGAAGGGAAAAACAGATTTAAGTGTGCAGATCACACAACCCAAAAAAAATGTTCTTCTTCCTTCAATTCTTAAGTCCCAAATAATAATAATAATACTGGACCTTGTACATTAAAGTGCCTTGCAAAAGAATTTGTTCAGAGGTCAAACAAAAATGCTATTTTCTGTGGTCTTTTGTATTTGTTTAACTTATGTTAAGATAGCTAACTGAGAAGATATCATATTAAATGGATTTGTTTCCTTTTCTGATGCAGAATGGCAGTAGTGAGTTTATGCGTTTGTTATTTCAGAGCAAGATGCAAAATCCGAAGTTTAAATTCCCACACTCTGATTGGCTACTTAATATGATTACTACTTGACAATGAAAGCATGGGAACTAAACCATGGGAATCTCCTCCAATCCCATGGTCCAGTTATTCCTACTATTCTTTTATAGATGTAGCTATTCAGTAAGTGGAAGTGTCAGGAATCAAGGAATGACCAGAAAGGTGTGGACTGACACAGGGAAACGCAGGTCTCAGGTACAATACAATACAGGTTATTATTAGCCACCCAGATATATATATATATATATATATATATATATATATATATATATAAACGCACAGTGAACAAACTAACCTTCCACTAATCTTAGGAGGTGAAGGAACACAGGCGTAGTCAGGGCTGGAGAGGTGGAATGGTCAGGTCGGCCGTAGGGTTCTGTAACGACTGCCTGGTGGTACCTCTAGCGGTCCTCAGGGCAGGATTCCCCAGGGCGCGGAGTCTAAGCCCCAGTCTGCCTTTTCACCAGAGCCCCTGGTGGTGGGGATGGACTTGGCGCAGGACTGAGACCAGGTCGCGGCCCCTGAGTACACCTGCTAGTGGTAGGGGGATCCGCCAGAGGTATGTGCAGGTACGGCTGGATCCGTGCAGGATGGATGGATGGCAGAGTAGTTAGCGTGGTCAGACAAGCCGGGTCGGTAGCGGTGGAGGCAGATCAGTACAGAGCAGCAGGCAAAGAGCAAACGGGTCACAAGCCAAGGTACAGCAACAGGAGGTCAAACAGCATAGGAGTAGGCAGAAGAATAGTCAGGGATGAGCCAGTAGTCAGAACAGGAGACGGTCAACAGAGATCAGGATCAAGCCGGGTCAGCAACGAAGCAGGAACACAGGGTACAGAGGCTCATGGGGGAAAACATACACCAAGGCCCAGAGCACAGGCCTGGTCATGCCTTATATACACCTTTCTACAATCAGCCCCAGGTTTGGCTGATTGTGAGCTTCTGGCTGCTAAGAGCACCCGCTGGTCAGCTCTGGTACTGCAGCCCACACGGCAGGTGAGTTCCACCACCAGTGCTGAGAGCACCCGCTGGTCAGCTCTGGTACTGCAGCCCACACGGCAGGCGAGTCCCACCACCAGTGCTGAGTCCATTCCTGACAGGAAGCACTCCTGCAATCTTTCTTGGCAAATTTCATTAAATTTCTACGGAAAGGTCGTCTATCATGTGTCTCAATATTCGAACGATAGACGGCCTCTTCAAAGGAATGAATAGGATTTTTCTACTTATCCATGGGCTGCACAGTGTGGATCTGGCAGGAGCATAGATAGGTGAGTATAAGTCTTTGAGCAGCAGTGCTGAAGGAAGAGGAAGCCAAATAAAAGAATAACTGTACAAACATATGGTTATTGTTTACCACTGACAAGGTGTGTGGGGGAAAAAAGAAACTGTCTGGAATGGATTAAGTAAAGAGATAAAGTATATATCTTGGGTTTGTGTTAAATGTGTATTTCTCTGAAATAAAGTTAAACTAAAATGAGCATCAGCTTCAACCTCAACCTTTTAAAAATGTTTATAAATAATATGGAGTTTGGGATTAAAAGTACCATTTCCGTGTTTGCAGATGATGCCAAGCTATGCAGTGGAATAACATCCTGAAAGGATGTCTCTAATTTACAAGCCAACCTCAATGAACTGTTTAATGGGGCAACTATGCGGCAAATGAGGTTTAATGTTGATAAATGTAAAGTTATGCTCTGGGGGCGAATTCAAAATTTTTAAGCTACAGACTAGAGGAATCAGAGGTGACTATAATTTACAAACTCAACCTCCATGTCCCCACTCACATCCAGTACTTTTATGGTATGATCATTTCCCTTCAGTTGATGTTGTTTTGGGCACTGAAGTTTCAGTACCAAAAATTCTAGAGCACAGATATTCTGCACAAATTACTTACACAGCAGGTGATATTTCTGTGCAAGTCATATCGAAGAAAGCCAATTGGAAGTAGGTTCTTCTGTTTTATCCCTAACCTGATATGATCCATAAAACCTCAACCTAACTTACCCCTATAGCCCTACAGCCAGGTACACACGGTAAGTTTTTTTTTTCGTTCAGTCCAGTGGGCTGAACGAATGAGCAGCTTAAAAGGAGGTCTCTGTACTATTTGATATTAGTACAGAGATCTCCCCGCTGTGCTATTGTGTTCTGATAGGGGGACTGTCCCCTTGCCAGAATATTCCAGTCAGTGCTCGCGGCCATCGACTAAGAGCGCTGATCAGATGCCGATTGGCTGCGGATTTTCCAGCATGCTCATTCAACAGAAGCTGGTTGGGAATTTGGCTTCTGTCAAACAAGAACTTGTACAAACTGGATGAATGTTGGCCCTGTGTGTACAAGGCTTAACTATGAATCTAAACTCACCTGGTCCTAAACATAAACCTAGCTTCACAATGTCCCCCCCCCAACTACACACTAGCCCTAAACATAACCTCACCTGGCCCCTAACCATAAAATTTCAATCCATACCCTAACCTACAACCTAACCCATAACCTCACCTAGTCCCTTAAACCTAAACATAACACCATAAGCTCTTAAATGCAGCCCAACCCGTTATCTCACTTGGCCCCTAAGCCTCAACCTAACTTTACCTGCCCCCCAAAAAACCTAATCTCAGCCAATATCCTAGTTGCAAGATAAATACGGTATACTGTCATTAAATTACATTTTATTATGGAAATGCTAGTACAATTAACCGCTTTCCCACCACCCTATTGTAGAATTACTGCTACAGGGTGGCAGGGATGCGCAAAATCATGCATATATACATGATTTGCATTTACTAGTAGGGGGCACGTGCGCGCCGCCCTGCCCATGCCGCTGTTAGTGGCTACGGATGTCAATCACCTGGTCCCGGCCGGCCGGAGATTCCCTGCCAGCACCCGGCGATTGCCGAGTAACACTGACAGGGGAGAGACCTGTGTGTAAACAACAGAGGTCTCTCTCCTGCCAGCAATAACACACTGCTGTGTATTTCTCTGCACAGCAGCATGTTTCCCTAGTATAACACACACAGCACATTATGTAACACAGCACCCTTTGATTGACCCAGATGTTAACCCCTTCATGCCCAGTGTCATTAGTACAGTGTCAGTGCTTTTTATTAGCACTGATCACTGTATTAGTGTCATTGGGACATCAGTGGCAGTTAGTTCCCACCCAGTGTCAGAATGGCCGCCGCAGTCCTGCAATAAGTCACTGATTGCCACCATTACTAGTATAAAAAAAAATACAAATAAAAATTCCAGTATATACACCACAATTTGTAAATGCTAGAACTTTCACGTAAACCAATTAATTTACGTGTATTGGGATTTTGTTTTAGCAAAGACATGTAGAAGAATACATTTTGACCTATATTTATGACAAAATTAGATTTTTTAATTTTTTTTTTACTGGATATGTTTTATAAGCAAAAAATATTGTTTTTTTGTTTTTTTTTTCAAAATTGTCGGTCTTTTTTTGTTTATAGCGCAAAAAATAAAATGCAATCAAATACCACCAAAAGAAAGCTTTATTTGTGGGGAAAAAAAAAAAACATACATGTATAGTGATGCATGACTGCACAATTGTCAGTTTATGTAATGCAGCGCAGTATTGCAAAAAACAGCCTGGTCAGGAAGGGGTGTAAATCCTCTGGAGGTCAAATGGTTAATCAGTGGATAATTCAAATACATTTTGGCACCAACATGCAAAAACTCTAACTTGTGTTGCTGAAAGATGTACTACGAAACCTATATGCCAAAAACAGGAGTTATAACTGGAGTTTCCTTTAAAAAGCAAATCCAGAGAACAAGTTCAACCAAATCAAGAACGTCTAATGCTTTCCAGGAAATATGCCACCATGGTAAATCCACTTCCCATCAGTCCACCTTAATTTGTATTCAATGTAATCCACTCCTGTGTTGGTGGGTCTGCTTCTCGAAGCATGTGCTGTGCAAAATTCCCTCTCTCTGCTTGACATGTCACCAATCAGACTCAACGATTTAAAACAGTTCTGCACCTCTGTGGCTGTGAGAAATGTCTACTGACGCTTAGATATATCAAGCTCTCTGTAGCTGAGTGACAGCAATGAACATGTAGTGGGTGTTTTTAAGAGACACCTCCCCTCCATTATAAATTGGCAATTCAAACAGGTTGAACAGATTACCAGCAAAAGGGAACAAGGTAAACTGTTGAATTAAGATGAAGCTGTAGTGCCACAATGTTCCTTCTATTTCATTCATGTGGAATGCTGGAGGGAGTGTTCCTTTAAGAACGGAAGAGAGATTTTTTTTTTTTTTTTAATCTGGCAATCTAAATACTGTGCTAATACAAACAGCCAGCAGACACAAACATGCCTTGCCCATGTGACCTTTATTTAATGTTTGCAGCTCAATATTAGTGGCAATCCTGGCAGAAATAAAACAGGGTATTAACGTATTTAATAAGATTGCCAGCAGGCAATGGATTCCTACTTTTGCTGACCTACTTCTGTACAAATTTTAACTTATTGCAGCTTTCGTACACACTAAAAAAAAAAAAAAAAAAAACCCTTCCAGTGAGTTATATAAGGTGAATTCATCAAACATAAATGCACAAAAAGTAAATTATTGACAAGGGTGCCAAAGACAAATTGAAAGCAGAAGGCCAAGAAAGCTTGTTTAAAAAAAAAAAAAAAAGAAAAAAAAAACCTCTGTCAGCAATGCATTACAGAGGCAATCAAACATTACCACTACCCTGCTAAAGTACGATAGTGACAAAACGACCCCTTACACAATGTTTTGTGAAACATACTAAATGTGTTCCGGCACACATGCAGACCCGTTGGATTGTGAAGGAAAATTAGGCTCGGAAAAATAAAGACGTCCTAAATGCAATTCCCAGCCGCATCATTCACTCCTCTAACACACACGTTATATGTCTAAGCTGCAGAATTACTTGTTGGGCCTACAGATTGAATTTCTACACAGTCCAGATAGCTGGTGGCAGGGTGTTGCCTGATGCTGCAGAGATACTTAACCATTCTCTGCCATTCCACAAATAGATTCATAGCACAACGGAATTTTTTTTCTTACAGTGAAAAAAGCTGATTAATTTAATGGATTACTGAGACACGCTCTCTTCAAAGGACCACTAAATATATAAAAAAGATGAGTCTTACATGAAAAAGCTTTTAAAGAAAAATTTGATATAATTATGGTCATAGTCAGCTGGAAATTTCTTGCTTTACCTTAAAGACGGACTGGTGTATTCTGAACCCAAAATCGTGTATTTAATCTCAACTCTACTTGACCGTTGATTCCTGTTATTTATTTTTTTACTTACCCTAAGAAATGTTGGAAATCCTTGTCCATAATATCCAACTGCAAAGTAATCAGGCTTTGGTCGAATGACTTTCACAATGTTTTCAAAGAACTGTGCTTGCTTTTTCTGGAAGGGGGAAGAAAAATGAAAGTTGGAGAAGCCATTGTGAAGATTAATAAGCACATTGTGTAGAGGCAGTTGTTGCTGGAAGAAGCTGTGTTATGAGAAAAGTCTATTAACTGCTATGATTCCAATAACATACTGCTTAGTTGTGTGGCAGCCTTTTTAAAGGTACAATGTGAATAAAGGTTTGGAAAACACGTCCCACCTAAATTTCTATCCAAGAGCAAGGGGTGCAAATGGAACCAGAACTGATTGTAGATATGAAAGATAACCATCTAAGGGACCCTGTTAGGTTAAAAAATATGTACTGTATATAAAAGGTCTCAGCAACAGAAGAGCATTTATACTCACCTCTTTGGTAGACTGTACCTCTTGTCCTCATTCTGTTATAGCTCGTTTAGACAGGAGGCAGCCTCTAATGCCCCACTGAAAAGACAGCTGTGGTGTATCACTTTTCAGAGGGCAGTACAGCTACAGCTGTTGCGCATTCAGGAATTCATACAGTAGTTGTCTAAGTGCCTGTTTCTTTTTTTTTTCCAGCCGCAATCACAGGCCAAGCATTTGGATTGTGGTTGCAGCAAGACCCCATGTGCTTGAATGGGTCACGTTTGGCAAGATACTGCCAAAATCAGGTGTTATGTACAAAGATGGCCAATGACCATGTTAACCTGCAGCTCGGTGGCTGGGCATGTGGTAAAATGACAACTCAACCACCTGTTTTTACTGCTTCTTAAACACCTGTGTAAATGTGCTCTTACAAAGCTGTGTCTCCTGCTGCACTGTGGCTCCATTTCATAGCTGGCAACATTCCCAAAAAGTTTTTAGGAAAACTTTTTTCTGTAGGCGGAGTATTATTTTAATTAGGGGTGGGGGCTTTCATTAGTGGGTGTGGCCAAGCCACAGCAAAAAATATGGGCGTGGTTGAAAGTGCCAGCCTATATCCTCAGTATAGACCGTCCGCAATACAGGCCCCCTCTTAGTACAGACCACCCCTTCCTTGTCTTCCCCCTCCACCTTAGTACAGACTCAACCCCCTTCCAGCCCCCCCTTCCAGAAGCTCGCAGCCTCTCTTGGATTCCCATGACAGAGCTCAGGCAGTGCCTCACTTGGTCCCCATCTTCTGTCACCTGCCATGTGAGTCCCTTTTTCCGGGGGTGACACCGCCCACCTGAAAAATGCCACCCAAGGCAAACGCCTTATTTGCCTAGAGGTAAATACTACAGCAACTCATAGGGATTAACAACCCTGTGACACAATTGCTCAGTATTTTGCACAGCAAAGCAGCTTTTGAAGTAAGAAGTGGACCATGAAGATCACGTGGCCTCATTTTTACTTAAACTATTGATTTTTTTTGTTTTTAATGTATGTACCAGGATCTTTTTCCGATGCTTTTTGTCCACCTGAAAGTTGTTTTGCTGCATATTCTGTAACAATGGCCTTTGCAAGATCTGTCATATCACAATTTAAATAAAGCCTTTCAAGTAAAATTACTACAATAATATTTCACAATAACAGCAACAACAACTATGGCCATCAATGTCAGAAACAAAACTCACCAGCAGTTCACTCAGCTGTTCATAGTCAAACATCTCATTCTCATATTGCTCAGCCAGCTCTTTGCCGAGGGTGATAGCTTCCTCCCACATCTGTTCAGACAATACAGATTACAAAGGAAAAAAGTCATGTATGAAATAAAAATCAAGACATTTTTTGTAAGGAATGCAAACTAATCGAAACACAGCTCGGTTTTCCCACAGACTGCGCGGAGAGTGGAGTGCACAAATTTTGTCTGAGAGTTGCTTAATTTATATTGATGGAGAAATTGAGTAAAGCAAATGTGAGCTTGGTTCTGGACACAGTACTCACTACACTGGATTTAATACTATTATATGGTACTTATTATGTCAGAAATTGTAACTGCACTATGCAAACCCACTTTTATTATTATTATTATTATACAGTATTTTATATAGCGCCAAAAAGTTTGCTCAGCGCTGTACATTATAGTGGAGGACAGTACATGAGACAATACAGTAACAATACAATACACAAGAGGTTCGAGGGCCCTTCTCCTTGGAGCTTACAATCTAGGAGGGAGGGGATAGTGGTACAGGAGGAAATGGCTGTGGGGGATGGAGTGGTAGGAGGAGTGGAGGAGATCGGCTGTTAGGTGAGGGTGGGGTAGGCTTTTCTGAAGAGATGGGTTTTCAGGGTGCACCTAAAGGTGAGGAGGGTAGGCGACAGTCTGATGGATTGGGGTAGTGAGTTCCAGAGGATGGGGGAAGACCTGGAGAAGTCCTGGAGTCAGGCATGGGAGGAGGAGACCAGGGAACTGGAGAGTAGGTGGTCTTGTGAGGAGCGAAGAGTACGTGTTGGGTGGTATTTGGATATCAGGCCGGTGAGGTAGTTTGGGGCAGTATTATGAATAGCTTTGTACGTCAATGTTAGTAGTTTGAATTTTATGCATTGGGCAATCGGAAGCCAGTGGAGGGAATGACAGAGGGGGGTGGCGGATACGGAGCGGTTGGTAAGGTGGATGAGTCTGGCCGCTGAGTTCAAGATAAACTGAAGCGGGGAGAGTCTGTGATGAGGTAAGCCGGTGAGGAGGGAGTTGCAGTAGCTGAGTTGTGAGATAATAAGGGAGTGAATGAGTTGTTTAGTAGTGTCTGGGGTTAGGAACTAACGTATTTTGGAGATGTTGCGGAGGTGGAGCCTGCATGAATTTGCCAGCGATTAGACATGGGGCTGGGTGGATAGGTTGGAGTCTAGAGTGACATCTAGAACTTTCGCTTGCGGGGTGGGACTGATGGTGGTATTATTGGTCATGATGGAGAGGTTGGGGGGGGCACAGGCTGGGGGGGGAAAACTAGGAGCTCGGTTTTGGAAAGGTTTAATTTGAGGAAGTGGAGTGACATCCAGTGTGATATGTCGTTCAGTAGGCAGGTGATTCGGGCGGAGAGTGAAGGGGTGAGGCAAGGGATAGAGAGGTAGATTTGCGTGTCATCGGCGTAGGGGTGGTAGTTGAAGCCGTGGGAGTGTATCAGTTTGCCAAGGAAGGAGGTGTAGATGGAGAGGAGAAGAGAAGGAGCCGGAGGACAGAGCCTTGGGGGACCCCAACAGAGAGGGGGTGCAAGGGGGAGTGGCAACATTAAAGGTAACACTGAAGGAGCGTTGAGATAGATAGGAGGAGAGCCAGGAGAGAGCGGAGTCTCTGATGCCAAGGGAGTATAGTTTTTTAAGGAGGAGGGAGTGGTCAACTGTGTCGAAGGTTGAGGAGTAGGAGGACTGAGTAGTGGACATTAGCTTTGATGGTTAGCAGGTCGTTGGTGAGTTTGAGTAGGGCAGTTTCGGTGGAGTGTAGGGGACAGAAGCCAGACTGTAGGGGGATCAAGGAGGTTGTTGTCGTTGAGGTGGGAGCTTAGGCGATTATAGACTAAGCGCTCGAGGAGTTTGGATGTAAATGGCAGGAGGGAGATGGGTCTAAGGTTGTTCAGGTCGGTGGGGTCCAGGGAGGGTTTTTTTGATTATGGGGGTGATGTGCGCGTGCTTTAGGGGGGAGGGGAATGAGCCAGTAGAGAGGGAGAGATTGAAGATGTGGGTGAGGGAGCGTAGGATGGAGGAGGAGGGTGACCATAGGAGTTCTGTGGGGACAGGGTCAAGGGAGCAGGTGGTGAGGCGGGCTTCAGAGAAGACCTTAGTGACCTCTTCAGTGGTAGCAAAGTCGAAGGAGTGGAGTGTTGGGGGGGTTTTAGTGTGCGGGATGTTAGGTGGGGTGGGGGTCTGGGCAGTTGCAAGGTTAGAGGAGAAGAGTGTTGAGGTGGTTATCATGGGAGGGAGGCTAGGTGGGGTGGAGGTCTGAGCATTGGCGATGTCCCTACGGATAGCGTCAATCTTGTTTTGGAAGTGGTTAGAAATCTCATGGGCGGTGAGTGAGGTACTGGGTGGAGGTGGGGGGGGGGCAGAGGAAGGCAGATTTGTATAGGGTGAACACTTGTTGGCATCTGGTTTTGTGCCATAATCGATCCAGCGCACGACTGCGTCGTTTAAGATTCTTGGTGTGGTCGTTCTGCCAGGGTTGAAGCGGTTGGGGTCTAATGCTACGTGTGGTTAGGGGGGGTGCTAAGGAGTCTAGGGCGGCTGACAGCGAGTTGTTATACGCAGTAGTGGCCAGGTCAGGGCAGGACAGTGGAAGGATACTGTCGTAAAGTCGGTCAGGTGGAGGAGTTGGGGTGTAGCCGGGTTATTGATGTTGATAGGGATATTGAAGTCTCCAAGGATGATGGTGGGTAGCTCTGAGGAGAGGAAGAAAGGTAACCAGGTGATCTGTGGAAAACTGCATTCAAATGTGGACCTTAAAAGATAAGGGGAATGTGAGTGGTACACCCTTGAGAAAGGGTGGGACCACCCTTATTATTGGGAGGAAGTCCCCCTTACGAGCTAAAGCCCATTTATACTGAAGGAAATAAGTATTTAATCCCCTGCTGCTGATTTTGAATGTTTGTCCACTCACAAAGAAATGATCAGTCTAAAAATTGAATGGTAGGTGTTTTGTAACACTGAGAGACAGAATAGCAACAAAAAAAACAAAAAGAAATGCATGTCTAACAAATTATGCACTGATTTGCATGTTCATGAGGGAAATAAGTATATGATCCCTTATCATTCAGCAGGATTTCTGGCTACCAGGTGTCTTTTATACAGGTAACAAGCTGAGAATAGAAGCAGTCTCTTAAAGGGAGTGCTGCTAATCTCATTTTGTTACCTGTACACAAGACACTTGTCCACAAGAGCAATCAGATTCCAAACTCTCCACCATGGCACAGACCAAAGAGCTGTTCAAGGATGTCAGTGACAAGATTTTAGACCTACACAAGGCTGGTCTTGGCTTCAAAACTATAGCCAAGCAGCTTGGTGAGAAGGTGACAACAGTTGGTGCAATCATTCCATTCACAAATGGAAGAAACACAAAACACCTGTCAGTCTCCCTAGGTCTGGTGCACCATGCAAGATCTCCCCTCATGGAGTGTCAATGATCATGAGAACAGTGAGGAATCATACCAGAACTAGGCAGCTGGGACCACAGTCACCAAGAAAACAATTGATAACACACTACACCGACAAGGTATGAAATCCTGCAGTGGCCGCAAGGTCCCTCTGCTCAAGAAAGCACATGTTCAGTTTGCCACTGAACAACTGAATGATGCAGAGGAGGACTAGTCGAAAGTGTTGTGGTCAGAGGAGACCAAAATCGAGCTCTTTGGCATCAACTCAACGTGTTTGGTGGAGGAGGAATGCTGCCTATGATTTCAAGAACACCATCCCAACTGTCAACCATGGTGGTGGAAATATTCTGCTTTGGGGGTCAGGACAACTGCACTGCATCAAAGGGACGATGGACAGAGCAATGTACCATCAAATCTTGGGTGAGAACCTTCTTCCCTCAGCCAGGACATTAATAATGGGTAGTGGATGGGTGTTCCAGCATGACAATGACCCAAAACACACGGCCAAGGCAACAAAGGAGTGGCTCAAGAAGAAGCACATTAAGGTCCTGGAGTGGCCTAGCCAGTCTCAAGACCTTAATCCGATTGAAAATCTGTGGAGGGAGCTGAAAGTTTGAGTTGTCAAACGTCAGCCACCAGACCCTAATGACTTGGAGAAGATCTGCCAAGAGGAGTGGGCCAAAATCACTCCTGAGATGTGTGCAAACCTGGTGGCCAACTACAGGAAATGTCTGACCTCTGTGATTGCCAACAAGGGATTTGCCACCAAGTACCAAGTCATATTTTGTGAAGGGGATCAAATACTTATTTCCCTCATGAACATGCAAATCAGTGCATAATTTGCTAGACATGCATTTCTTTTGAATTTTTTGTTGCTATTCTGTCTCTCAGTGTTACAATATACCTACCATTCGATTTTTAGACTGATCATTTCTTTGTGAGTGGGCAAACATTCAAAATCAGCAGGGGATCAAATACTTATTTCCTTCACTGTATATGGAGGCATTAAGATTTAAAAACTACAAGACATGAGATGGTAAAGCCCCTATTTAGCAAGAGTTTAGGTTTCCCTATTGCTCAGGTGCTGCTACAGTGCAGGGATGTAATGGCTGCAAGGTAGGGTGTCGTTCCACATAACCCTCCCCAACATCACCCCCAATCACGGTTATACAAATCAGAAGAAATATGAACCAGGATGCTTTAAATGAAAGAAATAAGCGGTGATTTTCTTGGCTATGCTGTGACGGAGAGGAGTGAATCACAAGACAGACTAAAGAGAATTTGAACTCCTCTGGGATGATAAAATGGTAACAATACATGTATTTCAACTGCGTATTTAGTTGTTTACCTGGAATTTCACTTTAAATAAGACCATGTCAGGTAAAAAAGAAAATCTGTATTGCTTATGCTTGCCAAGAAGACAAAGTGATATAGAAAGACGGAGTACGTGGAAGAAGACAGAGACAAAAGGCCACGAAGACTACACATCATTTCAAGGAAACTTCAACAGATATATCAATCTTTACATTTACTTTTCAGGTGGATGTAATGTAATGAGAACAGTCAAAATGTCAAGTCACCGAAGTAACCTGGCTGCTTTGCAAAGAGTTGTAAATTCTCTTTTATTGCCGCAGGGGATTGTA